AAAAGACAAAAAAGTCACAATAAAAAAGTCAGAAAAAAAGGCACAGAAAAAACCTAACCTAACCTACGTGCAACGCCATCATATATAGTTTGTGTACAAGTCACGTGACTTTATTTCCGTTCACCTTTCAAACACCCAGGGAAAAAATGCATATTCGTCACCTTCCTCCTCCTCCTCCTCCTCCTCCTCCTCCTCCTCCTCTTCCTCTTCCTCCTCCCACTGTACAGGGTGTTCACAAGGTCCCTTGATGTAGGTTTACACAGTACCTTTGAAAGAGTTTTATGGTTTAAAATGTGGGTGTGTGTACTCCATCATGGTGGACACATGACTGTATTCTTTACCGTGTACACTACATGTAAGTTACCTTACTTTACCCAACCTAACGTTACTCCTACCTTACCTTACCTTAATTATAACCTGTGATTCAGTGCCGGATTTAGACCTGTGGAGGCCCATGGGCAGCCTCTTTGTGGAGGCCCCCCTCATTATAACTACCCAAGAGGGTGGGGTGGCGAGTGAAGCGAGCCTAAACATCTGGGAGTTCAGGGGAGCGCTGTAAGCCCCCCGGGAAAATTATGAAATTTGAACACTTCTTTGGAGAATTTTGAAGCCATATGCAGTTATATTGAGGAAATTAGAACATTGAATTTTTTTTAATTAACTGTATATTTATTGATAGTGTACAAATTCCCAACACACACACACACACACAAAAGTGAGACATGACTGGAGTCATTCATGTGGTTTCTAGTCGACCAGCCCTGATATAGCTACTACCGCACATGTCAAAAAATTTCTAGAGACTTCACAGAAAATAATATATTATTAGATATTACAAAGAGATGTTTGTAGAATTCTAAATATATTATTAGCAACACAAACAATAGCATTCATTAAAAATATACGGTTCATAGGAAAACCAGGTATTCATGAATTTCAAGGAGTAGCTAGCCTAATTTCTATCACGCTTCTTGCTGAACATAGTTTTATGTGATGGAATAGATAAACATGAATTTTAATGAATGAAAATAACATTAACCCAAATGAATAAACAAATAAATAAAATATTGTAATATGTGGAGGCCCCCAGATTGTGGAGGACCCTGGGCAGCTGCCCACTTTGCCCACTCCAGAATCCGGCCCTGCTGTGATTTGTTTCCTTGGTAGTGGTACACGAAGTAAAATGTGTCAAAATAAGTGAGATAACATTGTAAGCCGACAGGGTATTGATAAGATAAGTTATCAGTAATAGGGTGTTGGTGGTTCACTAATAATGCGTGTCTTTTAATATCAAGTCCGGGGTTCGAGTCCTGGGGCGGAGCAGATGTGAGAAGGGTATTCGTTATCCAGTGTGATCCCGCCAAACATCACAGGTTTTCTCGAGTACTCCAATTTCCTCTTGGACTAAACTGTAGGCGCCCGCACACTATCTACTGGGGGTGTGGTGGGGGGGGGGATGTCGTGAACAGTTAAAATAAATAAACATGAACTGAGTATCATCTGTTAATTAGATTGATTTTGCCGCTTACAGCAGCTACTTTATTGTGCACCCCACACTCATCCTGTGTGTAGAGTAGAGTTTACAACGGGTCATAATAATTAACCCCCGTTGTCAGGATATTATGGCACTGAATGTTACACAGTATTTCAATTACATTATTTGTTTAGTTCTATTCATAAAGGGTAACTTATTCACAAATGCGTGAGTACAGGCGTGTGAGGCAGTATGTCTGGCCGCATACTTTGTTATTCACATTTGCGTGAGATGTGTTCAAGCACATTGTGTATTTGGTTCTATACATGAGAACTGATATAGTTACTTAACTAGGAAGGTGTATTGGGGGAGAGGGAGAGTTACCACACACTTGTGCCAACCTTTTCTCGCTCTTTCGTGATGATATTAACTGTCGAAATTTCACCACTTGCTTTATCATGTGTTGGGTAATTACGAAAAAAAAAGTAAATGATGCACTTACCTGGAGCTGTGAGTGTTCATATATATATATATATATCTAGAGCCTCGATGTGTTAGGTTTGAGGTTATGAATGTGTGTATTACGTTTAGTCCAAGATGAAAAATAAATGCTTGTGTATTATTATAATTTCTAGTGGTTATGAAGGAAAAGACGCGAAATAATAAATGGAAAATGGGGAAGAATAATAAATTATAAAAAAGGACAAACATTAAGGTCAAAATATTATCACCTGTACGACCCGGGTTTAGTTATCACCTACTTGACACTGCTGACCCGGAAACAGATAACTCCTGTAGTAATAATATCGTTATTGTTATTTTGATTTTGTTTTTATATCCTGGTTATTGCACACCTGTGTAGGCGAGTGGTTAATCAGGCTGGCAAGGTGTGGGAGGAGACACGTGTGGTCGAGTCATATCTGTGGATGTGGAGCATAATTTATTCCCTTCGCCTATGCGAAATTTACCTGGATAGAATTAATCTAACCTAACCTAACCAGCAAGCCCTAACCTAATCAGCAAAACCTAACCTAGCCTAACCAACAAAACCTAACCTAACCTAGCCTAATCTGTTTCAATGCAACCTAACCCAACTTAACTTAACCTAACTTAGCCAATTTTAGTAGAAAGCTGTGTTAGGAGTTACATTATTCGGATACATTTAGTTGTGTCTGTCTGTCTGTGTGTAAGGTGGAAGGTTGTTTTATGGTCGTTCACCTCAACTGGGTCTTACTGGTTGTTACTGGTGGGGATTGATGCCCCACACACTGCATATATACACATTTCATTCTCTCTCTCTCTCTCTCTCTCGTAATCTGAGCCAACGTGTCACTACTATCAAATGATCACTGTGCGAGTGTGTGCGTGTGTGCGTGCGAAAGGGATGGGGGAAGTACCGTTAAGTTAATGTCATAACACAGGAGTGTAGTAGGAACCTTGACCTACTGGCTACTACCTGTTGAAGAGCTGCCAGGTGATCCGGTCAACGCCCACCCTCGACCCACCAGCTCTCCCTCGACCCACCAGCTCTCCCGCGACCCACCAGCTCTCCCTCGACCCACCAGCTCTCCCTCGACCCACCAGCTCTCCTCGACTCACCAGCTCTCCCGCGACCCACCAGCTCTCCCTCGACCCACCAGCTCTCCCGTAACCCACAGGCTCTCCCGTGACCCACCAGCTCTCCCTCGACCCATCAACTGTGTGTGTGTGACCATCTGTGTCCCCTTGTGGAGCCAGTGTGTATTATGTGGATTATGATAACAGTACACACACACACCACTGAGTGCACAAGTACTCTGTAATTTTCATAGTACAGCGCTGTAAATTTCGTGTGTGTGTTTGTGTGTGAACGTCAGGTTGGATGGTACAGTATCAGGTGTTAGGTGACGTAGAGCTCATCAACTCTCCTTTCATTAATCAAAGTGAAGGTGTGTGCATATGTACGTCACACTCAGAAAATGATAGTTTACTCTCAAAATATATACATTACAGTACTCTTTGATGATATACCTTGAGTGGATATCGTTTCTTTTTATTGAAGTTTACATGAAAAAACGTAGGTAAATTAAACCTTTGGGCTGGCTTAAATACCGTACTGAATTGGTTTAAATACAACTCTAGCTCTTTCAGGTTGGCACAAGTGTGGTGTGCATATGTACATGAAATTTTAAATCAGGTGTTTGACGCCGGTGTAAATTTAGGGACTGTCACCATCTCAACTAGCTCCAGGTTGGCTTGTGTAGTGCAGGAGGTCGTGCAGTATAGGTGGCTCTTGCTTTCCGGTGTGGGTGTTGGTAGTAATCTTGCGAAGTCTCCTTAAGAAGCCTGATCCAGCTCCACACGTCACCACCATGCCCTACAACCCTCTTCTCTATAATTACGTACAGTCATTAAACCTCCACCCACTTTGTGTTTCCTAATTATGCTCTCCTCTATCTTCCTCTCTCTGACCTCTCTTTTATTTATAATACTGTGCAGTACTCCCAATTTAATGACAACGTTGGGTACAAGGGGCTATATTTCTTCAAACTAATATTTTCTTAATCAATATATTTTTTTTGTATGTGACGTTTTAATGAATGTTCAATGTCCTGGCTTGAGGAGTCTACTCAAGCCATATGACTTGGGACATTTCCCTCTCCTCATCACACTTAGGTCTTGGAAAGAGACTCTTGCTTCACATACAGTATTTTCTTCCCTCTCTACCTCTTTTAGTCTAACTCTTCCCAAGTGCAATTGTTCTTTTGGCATGAAATTAAAAAATGTGTTCCAAGTTAATGTACTTTTTTTTTCATTAGTGTTTTCCAGCTCCCTTCCCCACACTGCCATTTAAACTGTAGTTTAATGCATGTTGATGTATAATATCCTCATACAGTTAATGTGGGAAGTGTGGGTTTATATCATAATGACTATCAGAGAGTAAAGTTTTGCTTTTGTTTTTAGTTTCGAGACATTCCAATTATGTAGACTTTTGGGGTAGGGTGTAATTTTGTACTTTAATTAGTTCTATAATGTTTCCTGGATTATGTTACTTTATATGTTTTGTAATTAACTTTGTGAGAGAAGAAACTACCAAGTATATTGTCATCTCCTATAATTATAGTTCAGGTAAAGCTTTATGTCAACAGTACCTGTATAGTCGACACAGCTGTACAATGATCTACTGATGTAAGCACTGTGTAGTCATGGAAGATCATAAGAAAAGTATCATACTGTGGCCACAGGCTAATTCAGAGTAAGGAGTCACCACAATGTACAGTATTGTAATTATGATAATGGTAAAACTTTGTGGGTGCTCCTCAAGGTATAACCTCGGGTAGGATTGTCCTACAGTGGTCGGCCATTAGTGTGTTAGGGTAGAACATGGATCATGTCATAGTTATGTTGAGAAAAAATTCAAGGTTTTAAAATGTGACAATCATTCAATATTGAGTTAATTTTTATGTGTGGAGATATACAGTAGCTTACAGTTGTATTTGAAAATTTGATTGTGTGGTGTAGCAACTAATTTCTGTAGTGCTTACAGAAAGCGACCAATGTGACGTATCAAGTCAACCACGTGAGCAGGAACAAACGTGGTCAGGTCCTTGGACAGCGCGGTGGCTTCCGAGGATGTACGGTTTGGTTCACTGGACTCTCTGGTGCAGGTACGTTGATATGATTTTCTTCACATTTGACCTACAATTACACATCAGAATGAACAACCACACTTATCAAAAAATTTAATGTCCTTTGAATGTTAATCTTCTCGTGATGGTTTGTTTGCCTGGGGTGGCCATCTTTATTTATAGTTCTCTGACTGCCAACAATGTGGACATTTTACCTTCAGGACTTCATACATATCAGTTTCACTCTAAGAAAAGAGGGACAAGAGTGAATAACTGGATACTGAACACTGACCAAACAACTTGGACACCTGAAAAAATAATTGGCTACATGGGAAATAGAATGTTTTCTCTGTGGCTCATGAACCAAATTACTGTACTGTAAAAAAAATTATTGTAACACCAGGAATATAGAGTATAGTATATGATATTCTGTGTAAATATATGTGCAGTACTGTACTGCTACAGGCATACCAGTAACGTGGGTGAGGAAGTGTTTAATATGTGAGAAACCATTAAGTGTGTGTGTGTGTGTAATAAATAATAATAAATGGTTTATTAATAGAGTTGCAGCCGGTGGCTGAAATATACACTTACATTTGATTTAGACATAATGATATAATATGCATTGAATACATTTACAGGGCTGTACAGTACATAAATCAGGCGTGCGTGCGTGTGTGTGTGTGTGTGTGTGTGTGTGTGTGTGCATATGATAAAGCACTTGTTCAGCTGTGCTAGACTCATAAATATATTGACATTGAAAAATTTCCCTGAAATCCATCAATATGATAAATACTGAAATTATCAAATGTTGACTTATCAAAAAATAGCACACCACGAATATACTGTACATGTATCAAATTGTAATAAAAATTTTCTTGGTATTCACAGGTAAAACAACCATGAGTTTTGCCTTGGAGGAGTACCTCGTCTCTCGTGGTATCCCGGCTTACTGTCTTGATGGAGATAATATGCGACATGGCCTCAACAAGAACCTGGGATTCTCAGATGAAGACCGCGAAGAAAACATCAGGCGTGTGTCAGAAGTGGCCAAACTTTTTGCCGATTCTGGTGTGGTGGCTCTCTGCTCCTTTGTGTCACCTTTTACCAAGGTTAGCATGATTAACTGGTACTGCCAGTAATGAAATCTCAATCTCATCCCACCTCCGTACTCCTTGCCAGACCTGTTATTGACCATAAAAGAACACACTTTCCTCAGTAGTGTGTCTATGACCACACTTGCACTGCTTTATAGGATAGTGATAGCAACTATTATACTCTATTTGTATTTTAGTTTCATCTACCCAAAAGAATCTACTGAGCACTGTTTTGAGGAGTGATGATCATTCTGATGATAAAGGTGAAGAATGCTACACAGTACTGTATGGAATTTAGCTTTTAAATAAAAATTTCACTGAGGTTAATGTTACAGTATTTAAGTAGAAGATTTTACTCGCATGTGAGATTACAAAACTTGATAACATAAGCATATTTAGGATTGAGTCATCAGCTGTTCATACAGTACAGGTATTAAAACTTGCATATTTGGTGTTTTTCAGGACCGAGAACTAGCTAGAAAAATACATGAAGACACTGGGTTACCATTCTTTGAAGTGTTTGTAGACACTCCCCTCGAGGTGTGTGAGCAGCGAGATGTCAAGGGACTCTACAAGAAAGCCCGTGCTGGTATTATTAAAGGTAAGGCAGTTCAGTACTTTTTTCTGTGTGTGTGTGTGTGTGTGTGTTTATGAGTGCCAATAAAGTGTTTACCATGCCAATAGCAACTTCTCATGAAAAAAAATAATAATAATAATTTTGGTCCATGTTATCAGATTTCATCATACAATTGTTAGTTTGTTTGAATATTTACATTATACTGTACAAGTATTGTTGTTTACTTCACTCCTATCTTGCTCTTCCTTTCCTCTACTTTAAGTGTATTACTTCTTACTCCTTTTTTTTCCACTTCTGTGACCTTTTACACTCTCTGTTTTATTTGACTTCTCTTATCATTCTCTTGCTGTGTCCATTCCTTTTTTGTTATTTTAGCTCACTGTTAACATCAAAACTCCACAGCCTTATGTAAGTAAATAATTGTAGTACAAAAACAAATACTGTATGTGGTAGGGCTAAAACAGGCTGATTATACTACAAAGATAAAACCTCAAATACAGTTCTGCCACGCATTGTTCTTTCTCTCACTCTTATAAGTTTCACTGGCTGTGATGCTGGGTGGTAAGAACCGAGGACAAACACATACACATTCTTCATTTGCTTTCAATCTTTCTATTGGCTGACTGTAGCAACTGTTCTGCTGGTGTTCCCCTTCCACAACATTACTCCAAGATTTCCATCTGGTTTATTCCTGTCACATCACATAAGATCTTATAAATCATCCATTACTCTTTTAACTTTTTTTTTCTGTCTACCCATCTGATCATCATACAACCAGCAAATTTCCTTTCATATTCACTTCTATATAGATGTGAATATTGATATTGTCCACTGTGGTTTTTCAGGTTTTACTGGTATTGATGCCCAGTATGAGAAGCCTGAGGCTCCCAATGTAGTTTTAAAGACACATCAGTGTTCTGTTGATGAGTGTGTGCATCAAGTGCTGGAGATACTTGATGAATGGGTAAGTCTGGGATACAGTAAGTTATTCTACATTAAACAAGCAGGCAATGTGAATTGTTGTTTCTGCTTTAAATAATATACATATTACTGGTAATAATACTGTTTTGATGTTACAGGTAGGTACACTGTGTAAAGTATTTGTTGACTGCTAAAAGACAAACGGTTGATGTATGGTTATTTTCTAGCTAGATTTCCTCCAGCAGGTAGCTCTTACTGCTGTGTTTGCCCAGATTGATTGGTTAATTCATTATGCCTTACCCTAAAAAAGCAGCTGTGGTGAGGAATAATCTTATTACCAATCCCTTCCAGTTACACCTTCTAGCATTAACAAAAAGATTAGATGAAAACGTTACCCTCTAGAGACCTAAGCTGTGATGGAGCTTGTGTCCACCCAGACATTAAGATACCTGTACCCAACCATAGGCTGCCATGGTGGGATATGTCTTAATAATGCTCCTCAATTAATGTTAATTTCTCAGGATATTATTATATAAATAAATTTTAATAAAGGCACTAAAATTTAAATATTATTATTACCGGCATATTCGGTGCTGTGATAATATACATTAGAGTACAGTAGATCTTACCAAAATGTTTTATGAATAAGATATTTAACTGTGAGGAATAAGATAAAATAATATAGTATACTGTACTGTGCCAGTAAATGTGAGGAATAAATAGAAATAAAAAATACTGCATTACCATGTGGCTGTTGGACAAAGAAGTATTTGTCAATTGTTACACTACACACTGGAGTTGGGAGACAACTCAGAACAGGAGATCCCACACCACACTCTGCTGACCCCCTTCCCTGCTCAGCGTGCCAATTCTCACACTTGAAGAAATGTTTATACCCTTTAAGTTTTTTACCTTATGAAAATATTTTTTCCACATTCTTTTTGTAAGATTGTGTGTGTATGTAATTGTGTAAAAAAAAAAAAAAAAAAAAAATTACGAGTTGAAAAATAACCATAACATAGCTAGATCATAGCTTGGCCTGCTAGGGAGAGGGCAAACGCAAAGAAAATCTTCATTTGCATTGGACTTTGTAGATTTTAAGTGGCATACTGTATACAGCTACTCCTCGACTTACGACCACCCGAACATATGACTGCCCCAGTCGTACCCAAAATTTTTCAAATTACATATTTTCGAGTCCTGACGTTAGTGATTGTGCTGTGTACTGACAAAATTTTCGTTTGTAATTCCATTTAAAATGGCTGGTATGCTTAAAAGTGAGAGTTTTGTGGTGCTGAGAAGAAAAAAGATTTTCTATGTATTATCTTCGCATTTTCAACTTACGACCAATGCGACTTACAACCTGGATTTGGGTCCCTAACCCCGTCGTAAGTCGAGGAGTGGCTGTACTGTACTGTATAGTGAGTGAGGGTTTGCTCTTCATGTACCAACATAAAGAGAGAATCTGGGGGTATGGTAGGCAAATCCTGGTTAAAGCAGCTTAATGGTAAGGTTAGCCTGCAAGGATGTACGTATTGAGTTGCCATCTCTCACCGTAAATGACCCATAGAAATACATGAATTTTAACCCCTCAGAAATATTACACATATACTGTATAGTTTGACCCCTACTATGTGCATAAAAATTTTATCATAAAAACTTGCACTATAGTACTCGAGTATATATGGTAACTGCAGAGTGCAGGTGAGTTAGAGGTCTGTACAGTATCCCCTTCCTGCTGCCTGGTTGGGGTAACTCGTCTTTGGGGTCATGTCTGCAACACCTTGTCACACTTATTGTCTCACCTACTTTTTGTAATGAGAGATGTCTGGTTGAGGGAATCTAACTAGATTGAAATCCTATTTTACTGTTGAGTCAGTAGTCAGGTGGCTTAGATACTTGCTCTTCTCCCAGGAGTTTATGGTTGGTCAGCTGGAAATAGCTTAGGGGTCCTGAATTCAACAACATGGCAGCTGTTGACAAATGCTTACTGACTAGGAGGACACAAACTCTAATAGACCTTCTGCCTTTAGAGGACATCCTTTGTTTTTAATCTTCTTTTGAAGCAGAAAGATGCGACAAATGGAGCCCCCGACCCCCCACTTCCATTCTTGGTATGCGCATTAAAAGGAGCTACCTAGCGAGGCATTCAAGTTTAGAAATAGAAGTTCATGATCAGTTGCACATGTTTTTAATCTGTTAAATCTAACAAGTGTCAACTATATAAGATTTGTGTAACTATTTTTATATTTTTAATATTAATGGTCACTTCTGATCACCTTTCAGGAAATCATTCCAAAGTCTGTAACAGAGACAGTAAAGGAGCTGTTTGTCCAAGAAAACAAATTGGCAAGTGCTAAAAATGAAGCAGAATCTCTTCCTTCTGTCAACATCACCACACTAGACTTACAGTGGCTTCAGGTGCTCTCTGAAGGCTGGGCATCTCCACTCACTGGCTTCATGAGAGAGAGGGATTATCTACAGGTATGTAATTTCAGGAATTTAGGTATACTGTATAACAACATTAAACCATACTAGAAATAGGTTTTATTTTTAACGCATGTTAAATGTTGCTGCCTATCTGTTGGGTACTTTTGTTTTGGCACTGAATATTAATTGTTTACTTTTTACCTATTGTTTTCAAAATTCCTGAATAATACGTTCAGTAAATAATTTTTTGTGCGAAAAGATATAAAATAAACTTCAGATTTACAGATATAATTGTGTAAATAACAGAGAAATTATGTTGTGAAGAGAAATGGTGATTGCTGTTTAAAGATATTGTGTGGTAATTTGGTATAGTACTGTATTAGTAATATAATGAAGGCTGAAATTAAAAAAAAATACTGCATGATGTATGTAATTTGAAAGAAAGGTCAAAATGATTTAAGAGATATTGAGATGACCAACAGGGATTAAATGAAAACATTCAAAAAAGTTTTAAAGGAAATTGAGTTAAGTTCTTCATAAGAACTGAGAAATAAAGAAAAATGAATTGCTGCTAACAAATTAGTACTGATAAACACCTCGTTTATTTAATGAAATAAAGTAAAGAAATAAGGGAAACATAATTAAACATTTACCAGATGTTGATAATTTAGCTTAGATCCAAAACTAAACATCTTCCAAGTAAAAGAAGTTTGGAGGAGTGAGAATCTTATCATTATAGAAATTGAAACAAACCAACACTCCAGTTAGAAATGAAATTACAGGTAAGATAATGTACCTGTGTTTGCATTTGGCCTTATACAGTAGCAACAAAGTTTATTTTATCTGTCACAGAGTCAACACTTTGGCTGCCTCATGGACTCAGGTGTATCAAACCAGTCTATCCCTATTGTGTTGCCAGTATCTACCAGTGATAAGGAACAGCTTGACGGGTGCTCAGCCTTTACACTACGGTATGAAGGCCGACCTGTTGCTATTTTGAGGAAACCAGAGTTCTATGAGCATCGCAAAGAAGAACGCTGCTCTCGCCAGTTTGGTAAGCTGTAGATATAAATATTTTTAAAAACTTTTGGAAGTGGAAAACAATTTTATAATTGGTAATCATTAAATTTTTTGTGATAAAGAATGTTTACAGATTTTTGCGCCTCAGCTGAAACAGAAGTCGGCCAAAGCTCTGTATTTTCTAAGAAAGCGCTTTATTTGTGAGACACACCATAATTAGTCAGAGGACTATGGTGGCTGTGGCTATCTTGAAGTACTTAACAAGATAAAGAAAAGTATTCTTGGTATTGAAAGGTTTCCAAAAAAGTGAACAGAACCTAAAGTAATTGGGAAAGCTGAAGGTTAATAGTTGTATTTAAAATTTAATATGTAACTGGCTATTCCTTGTTCTGTATTTTTCAGTTTATTTAGATAACTACACAACAAGAATACAAAAGTGATATTATTTGTAAAGTTTATTTTACTGGCCAGAATATGAAGAACCTTAATACTATACGCCCCTGTACTGCACATAACTATTTGATTTATGATTTGCTGCCACCTAACTTTTTATCTCTGGAAGACAGAAATGACACCCTGGTAGGTATTTGTCCATGTAGTTTATGGCTTCTTACATTTTTAGTAACAGATGTTTTTGACTGGTTTACTAAGCAACACTAACACTGAGTAAAACTATCCATTTTCTTGTAGTCCAGATGCTATGTGTGAGTTAACTTCTCTCAGAAATTACCATATGTGTTAACTTAAGATGGATCTGATTCCTTCATTACTTTAGTGAGTACTGTACAGTACAGTACAGTATATAAAAACTAGGCACAGATATATACTGCAGTACCTGAGCACTATCTCTTCTCAGAATCTCTTGGTTCTGTAATTTAGAAGTTGGAATTCATGATGATCTTAAAGACACAGTTGAATATTTTACACAGCTCACTGCATCACTTCTACAGAATTATTGAATAGGTGAATAGGAAACCTGTGTCTTAAAAGCTCTCTGAACCCCTTTGAATACTGTACAGTGAATAAGCTCAGTGAATAAGTTATTGTAACCCCTGAGTATGATGGCTTGAGTACAATGATAATACTCTCACAATCTCTTCTCTTGAGTACAATGATGATATTGTACTCTCGCACTCTATTCCCTTAATTTCAATGACACTACAGTACTCTCATGATATATTCCCTTGAGTGCAGTGACAATACAATAATCTCATTGTGTATTCCCATGAGTACATTGACAACACTCTCATGGTCATACTCAAAAGGTTGATTAAAGATATTGGTAGGGTCAAAAAACTAGTTATTAATCAAGCAATATTCTTCTCTTACTACAGGGACCACATGCAAAGATCATCCTTACATCCAGATGATCAATGAGAGTGGCGACTGGCTGTGTGGTGGAGACATTGAAGCATTAGAGAGGATCAAGTAAGCACACTGAGCAAGATGATACTTAGAACATCTTTTTAATATACTCGTAAAGTTTATTCAGAAATATAATTTAAAGTCTAAATTTTCCTGTCAGATAAAAAATGCTTAACCTAGTCAATGACAGATTCTTACTAAAACATGATTTATGTTTCACCCCTTTTCCTCCTCCACCACCTCCTCTTCTCTCTCTCACTAGTACATGAAAGTTTGACTCAGAAAGTAAACTGGTTGATGGAGACTCTTCAAAGGACAGTACTGTATCTGTATAGGAGAGTGCAATAGGGCTCTACTTTCTACAGATGGAACTTTTCTATCATCATGTTCCCACTGTAACTAAACTCAATTATTTACCACACTACCTCAGCCTCCACTTAGTCCTTTCAGTAGTTTCTGTTTCAGTGTTTCTAAGAATCATCGCTTCCCAGAATTTTGCCACTTTTGTATTCGTAAATTTAATACAGTACATGTATTCCACCTTCTTCATCTTGCTCCCATTTATTCATACATAAAGATGGATTCTCATCTGTTTCATATATTTATAAGTGTCATCTAAAACAAAATGGCAACCTCCTCCCTTCTATGATAACTAAGCCAGTGGGTACAGTTCTTAAGGTGATAGCTACTTTCTTTATTGGTGAGGTTATTAACACTAAATCACCCTACATTTGTTGTCATTCATTCTTTCCATCTCTTACAACAGTTAGAGAGAACACATTGTAGTGGAAGATTCTGTACAGCGGTATTTCTCAAACTCCAGCTTCCCTGTACAGTACCATGGCAGAAGAGAGTTTGTAGGAGCTAAAAACTGGAATGTTGAAAAATTGTCACATTAAAGAGTCATTTTGTTCTTATATCAACAGGTGGAATGATGGTTTGGATGAATACCGCTTGACACCCATGGAGCTCCGAGCCAAGTTCCGTCAAATGAGTGCTGATGCTGTGTTTGCTTTCCAGTTACGTAATCCAGTACATAATGGTCATGCTCTCCTCATGCAGGTCAGTATGTGTCCAAAATATCCCCTGAAAGAACCTGAGACCTGCCATAGCTTCTTACATCTCAGTATTCTAGTCTATACTTGGTTACCTACTTACGAGACCCATCGCTCATCTCCCTGATATTTTTTTTTTTCCACCCAATAATTTTGTCTCGGATATAGGTGTTGAGTGATGCTTTGGGGGTGAGGGAACAACACATTCACCAAATTAATAGTGATTAAAAATGAAATTGGTATGAATGATCTCTGTTAAAATGTAAGTAATGTACTGTACTGTATGTAGAAGAAAAAATTAATGTGTAGGGTTGGTTTTTTTTCAGGTACCAATGGATTTAAGAGTCAACTGTTAGGGTGTGTCATCCCACATCATAGACAGGTCAAGATATGACAGATATACTGTACTGTATCTACCCCCATGTGGGCATTTGTGAACCAGTTGGGTCCCAGTACCAGTACAGCTTCTTATCAGATATCAGTTACACATTACCTTCTCAATGGGAATTCACACCCAGGACCAATATAATGATGACACTACTAGAACTGATGAGTTTCAGTATTCTCATTGTTAAGATGCTGTAGGACATGAATTAAGGATACAGTATAGGTTATGGAGGATTTGAATACTGTACTGTAGGATATAAAATGGCAGAAAGTACAGAATAGTCTCGTTTTACGTGGTCAATTAAACCCATGGAGGTCCGCGTAAAACGAGAAACGCGTAAATGAAATAACAGAACATATGGGATTAATTGAAATAGAGACTGGGCCGACCACCAGACTACCCTTTTTCCTACACAATACGTACATTGTAGTAAAAATAACATCTTAATTTTATGATGGTATGCACACATAATTAATATTTAAGAGAAATATCAATAATATTAGGTTTTTTAACACTTATGTTAGCAGAAGAAATGGCTGGGCACACGGGGATGGGGGGTTGGTTCCGAGGCAGAGGGCAGATTATTGGCCCTCACCTGTATCACTATCTACCACAGAGGCTAGCAGGGCCTCCTTGTCAAACCCCTCAAAGTCCATATCCTCACTATCACTGACTTGGGCTGGCTGTGGTGGGTGGCGGGTGAAGAACTCGGTAAAGTTTTGTTGACTGGGCAACCTAGCGTGCACCCTGCCCGCGCCGCTTCCCGCGTAAATGATGGAATGTACCGCGTAACTAATAATTGCCGCGTCTGGCCAGGTGCTGCGTAAATGACCAACCGCGCAAATCAAGACTATACTGTAGTTAAATTTTTTTTCAAATAATTTTAAGGATAGGTCGGCTTAATTGAAGACATTTAAATGTCTATACTTGGTATTTATATTATACTGTACAAAAATACTGATGAGGTCATAGGAAATACAGAGGTACAAGTAATGAGTGTAAGTTTTATATTTCACTATTACCGAATGTGTGACTTTTTCTTGCATGAATGGGATAATGTTCAGGATATATACAATATGTACAGTACATTGTGTGTTAGACATTTCCAACACACTACAAATACAAAATTCAATCATTAATTTTGATAAAGGGCTTTATTTTTATTTCCATGAGGCTTGAATGTTATTTGATGGCTCAATATCTCTTCAATATTTTATTTATTTTATCTTCTTAGGATACTCGTCGGCAGCTTTTAGAACGTGGATATCATAATCCAGTCTTACTACTTCACCCGCTAGGAGGATGGACCAAGAGTGATGACGTACCCCTTAAAACCAGGATGGAGCAGCATCATGCAGGTTGGTTATATATACAGTATAGTTACCTTGTATTTAAACAACATATTTCTTATATTGTATTTATGAACAGGATCAATAAAGTAAATGTCAATAAATTTAAAATAGTGATCTATTTGTTACACTCACTACATTTTGTAAACAGAGAATACTGTAATAAGTTTATCAAAATAATACCCAAAGGCTCGACTCTCTAGGATGCCACCATGTTCCTGAAACAAATATTGTATCCCATTACAAATGAATATGTCATCATTAGGTTGATTGAAAAACTAGTCTATGTTAGCTAGGTCACACATTGATTGACAAAATAGCAGTCACAGTAATTTGAATATAAAATTAGATATACCATTAACTTGAATTTAGATTGTTTTGGGTTCCCTTTTTTTTTATGATATGTTCCTATTAAGGAACACCATAGAAGAACACATATTGTACTGCAGTTATTGGGAATGAATGGCAGCAAGTGTTGATAGATAGTGTTCTACGCTTGATTTTTTGTATTAATCTATATCAAGAAATTGCAGAAAATTAAGAAAGTTCATATAATATTATACTGTACTGTAATTTGATCACAGCAATGAGAAATGCTATCACAATTATTTGCAAATCATGAAATTATTTTTTGTTGATGCAAAAAATTTGATCACATAAATAAAAACAACAAAATCTTTCTTCCCAGTGCTAAAGGAGGGTGTTTTAGATCCAGCCACAACAGTGTTGGCAATCTTCCCATCACCAATGATGTATGCCGGACCAACTGAAGTACAGTGGCATGCCAAGGCACGTATGGCCACTGGTGCCAACTTCTACATTGTTGGACGTGATCCAGCCGGTATGCCCCACCCACACACCAAGAAAGACCTGTATCATGCACAACACGGGCGAAAAGTACTCACCATGGCCCCCGGCCTTACACAGCTAGAGATAATTCCATTCCGAGTGGCAGCTTATGATACAGAAGCTGGTAAGATGGCCTTTTATGATCCAGCAAGAAAACCGGACTTTGAATTTATTTCAGGCACAAAAATGCGTGCATTAGCTCGCAGTGGTGAAAATCCACCCAACGGTTTCATGGCTCCAACAGCATGGAAGGTCCTGAGTAATTACTACAAGAGCCTCAGTAAAGAATAGAGTAGCCCAAGGGTTAACTGGTTGGGACAGTGCTGTCAGTAAAGATATGTACAATGCAGTTTGAACCATATTTATGGGGAAACCAGACATCATTAACAATAATTAGACAACAGTGATAACCACCAGAGATCATCAATATCTCCCAGACAGCAGTAACAACAGACAACACTGGTAAGTACTGCATTGTATTGGATATCATTAATAACTTCCAGACATCACAATAAGCCAGTAACTTGAATCATATGTTTTTATTTCAACAAACATCAACTCTGGTAGAAATATTATTGCATGTTTAATTATGTCATCAGTACAGCATTAGAGATCTGTTTTGTTACAAAAGTCATTTTATCTGGTAACAAGAATAATGTACAGTTTATATAAATTAATTAATTCTGCAGTTGGGTATTATGAAAAACTTTCATTATTCTCATTGTATATAAATCTGAATATTACTTGCAGAGAAGAAATAATGAGGAACCCATCAATAGTCATTTATATAACTTCTGTGAAGCTTATACAGTATTAAAATATTATTAGCAGTTATGAGAACCAAGATCTGTTATAATGAAAATATAGTATCAGCATATATGATGTGATCTAAGAGAGGCAACACAAACATTTCTCATTAACAGCTGAGCTATGGCCCAAAATATGTTGAAAACCTTGATTGTCAACATGATTATAGAGTGGACAAATGTTAGTTTTCTTCATTGGAGTTTGTGTAACTTTTTGTCCACCCTCATAGGTTTCAAATATTTCCAAACTGAGCACTGGCAGGTTTTGTAATGGTCGACTGCTTCAAGCAATCATGAGTGATCCAAAGAAAATACCTATATTATCAAGCAGTTTTGTCTTAGAGTTTGTGAGCTCATGTAGAGGTGAAGATTTTTAAGGGCACTTTGTGTGATTGTGTGTGTGTTTGGGCATTGTACACGGACCACAGAGTCTTCGGGGTATTACTCGTATCTACTTGAATTAAAACAGTGAGTTTGGAATCTGCTCCAGATTTTAAAATATAGTAAAACAAAATATATACAGTATTGGATTATTCATATTCTTGGCATTTTATCTAATATTATTAAAAGATTGTATTGTTATATTTATTTGTAAATTATTTTATTGATTTGTAAATTCTTTAAGTGCAGTATTTATGGTGCTAAAATATCTAAATTAATTTCTATTTATGTGTCAGCTCTTGGTTTACAGGAATGATATGTTTATATCTGTAATTAGATATTTAAAGAAAATATTCCCATGATTTATTTGAATTCCTGTCTCATTTTAAAAACTAAGTACACTGTACCCTCATTAATTCATATTGTTAAAATTCAGATTTTGGCTGAATTCATGTTTTTTTTTATTAATTACAGTAAACGATATGAATTCGGAATGAATCCAAAATAACCAAGCGGTTCCGAACAGTTGCATGGCAACGGCTTGAAAATTCAGGCCCGTCAATTTAACTGTGCTCTCGTGGCTTCCCAAGCAGGGTTGGGTCATAACACCTAACCCAACCCTTGACAATGATCTTTTCTGTGTAGTTTTTGATATACCACTTGGACGATACCCAAAAAGATGTTTCCCATAATGACGATTATAGCTAAAAATCGTCCATTCATCACAAATTCTATTTGAAATACTGTACAGTACATACTGTGTTTATTATAGGAATAAAATATGAGTTATATTAAGATGAATTATAGTAATAAAATATCAATATATTAACATGACGTATGAGAATAAAATATGAATTATACTGTACAGGTACAGTATTAGAATTAACACACGAAGATTATTATTTTAGTTGTTGTTATTATTATTGTGATTATTATTTTTAATTGGTAATAATTTAACAAGTCAGGTTGACAAGCTTAATATTAATATGACCTGTGGTCAGGTCTCTTGAAATCAGGTGACCTCATATTAGTGTTAAGACTAAAACAGGTGGAAATAGTGAGGTCATTGAGTTAAGTCATGAGTTTGGAAGGAAACAGTAATCTTTATAATTAAACATTTCTAATTTAATTTATGTTGTACCTGAAATTTTTTATTCGTAATATAATTCATATTACTGTATATTCTTGTAATCCATTCATATAGTATTGTACTAATATAATTCATGTTAAAGTCCTATAAAAAACAGTATTTCTAGTAGAATTTCTGATACAATGGAGTCTGCATTTACGCCGTCAATTGAACCCGTGGAGGCCTGAGTAAAACGAGAAACACGTAAATGAAATAACAACATATGGGATTAATTGAAATAGAGACTGGGCCTACCCTCAAACTCCACTTTTTCCGACACAATACCTACGTTGTAGTAAAAAGAACATCTTAATTTTATGATGGTATGCACAAACAATTAATATTTAAGAGAAATACAGTCGCCGGTTAATGTCCATTCAAATAATGGACTCCCCACCCCCCCTCTTCCCACGCTCGCTGGCTCCTCCCTCTCTGAGAAATGTTTGGGTGAAAACAATAGGCTTACATTTTTAGTAATAAATAATACCTCTGACTAAAGTTAGGATAATATAATTGACATTGTTGGATTCCTTGCAAGACAAGGAATAATTTGAATATAAACGTCATATATTTTGCACAAAAGATAAAATGTTTGCTCTTTCTAATCAAAATTCTCAAATTAACTCTAAAATTTGTATGTCTAATGCAAATTTTATGATGTTTATATTCAAAATAATCACAATCTTATAAGAATTCCAGCAATGTAAATTATATTCTGGCCGGGTAATTTGTATGAATTTTATGAGCTAAAACAAATATCTTCAGTAAATACAGCAAACAAATTATACTTCACCCGCTTAAATGACCAAATTTACCGCGTAATTAAAGCATTTCGATTCTGGCAAGGCACCGCGTAAATGACCAAACGCGTTAACCAAAACCACGTAAATCCAGACTCCACTGTATATGGAATTTTTTTATCTATAATCGTCCGTGTGGGTATCATGCAAGTTGGAAGAAATCGTCTTAGTGGTATGTAAACTTGAATCATGCTATCATGTGAGAGCGGGTCACAAGCGCAGACACAAGGTGATGCGTCGCTGTCACCTTATCAGTTGAGATGCTTAGCTACTAAAGCAATTGTTTTTTAGTAGATTTATGGGATAATATTGTTAATTGTGTTGATGGCGATATAAATCTGAAAGATTTTGAGTAAGTAAAATAAATGAAATTTGTGATAAAACCGTACTTAAACTATTATTGCATCATGAATGCCCGTACGTCTGACAACACCTTGTTGTTTGCTACCCATGTGGCTTGCATGTTGGACACTAGTTTTCTCCTTGGATTTATATATCATCTACATATTATCAGTTCACCTCACAATGTAAGTGTTAGATTTATTTACAAGGTATTACTGTATTATTTACCTTCTTATTACTGGACAGTACTATATACATTTATAAAATATTTATGCTTGCGCAGTAGTTATAAATAGAATATTTTATGTGGTAGCCAAGGCATGGTAACTGGGTGTGTCTGTTTGTTGAAATAATGAGGAACGATCTTCAGAACAATTTGAATACAGTTAAAAAACTGAACAGGAAATAAACAAATAATCAAAGACAAAAATTCAGAAATTGTCAAATACAGTACATACAGTAATGTCAAAATACAATATTCCGAATTTGAATTTTTCACTAAATCAAGTGACCCAGAACCCCTTTTTTGTTGAATTAAAGAGGGTATAGTATACCCCTGTACACTGGACCCCCGCATTACAGGAATTCTTGTTATGGAAATTCGCCCTTAAGGAATTACATTGTATACCAAAAACAAAATTTAATCACGAAATGCAAAAAAAGAAAGACAATGGTAAATTTTTTTTATTTATTGTAAGAAATTCAAATCTCATTTGTGTGCATCGATGACAGTGACTGGCTTTGTTTCAAATCTGGAAGCTAGTCAGTTACAGTGTGCTTCCGCATTTAGCTGTTGTTCGTTCAAGTTTTTTCCACACTGTGAAATGTATTTCCCCTCAAGATGTCTGCAAAAAGGCCAGTAAGTTCAAGTGTAAGTACTGTACTGCTCCTAAACAAGTACAAAAAGGAATTACACTGGATGTAAAATTCAATGATTTATGGAGGTTTGATTCTGGAGAAAAACTTAGTGCCATTGCTAAAACTTATGCATTTTTATGTATTTACTATTATTTGTGGTAATTAAGCTTATAAAATGTCTAAACTATAATTAATATGTGTTAAGAAATGTATATCTCCATTTATAAGTGTTTTATTACTTGTGTTGAACGAAAACATTTCCGTGTGAATGCATCTTCACTTTTAACATGGGCGTAATATGGGGAAAAAAGTGGTTTGCGTTATGGAAATTCGCGATGGAGCCACTTTTTCAAGAACACATCCATTCCATAATAATGGGGGTCCAGTGTATAGTACTGTATTAGAGGTCAGGCATGCATCATCAAGACCAGCACCAATTGTAAGCACAAGGAAGTAAAGTTGTGAGTTAGCAGCTATGTTCATATCTTAACAGTTTTCTGAAAGTATTGAGTGTAGTTACAGTTACCTTCTACATTACCACTTGTCTAAGCTGTCATATGCTTGTATAATGGCAATAGTATATTATATGGAGCTATTAGGACATTAGTTAACCAAGTAGTAAATGATGTCTTGATGTCTTTTATGTTCAGCTGGGTATTATGTTTTTGTACGGTATATATAATTTCATGATCTTTTGCAGTTTTTTCTGTGTGTGTTTGTAAGTGATGGATCAAATGAAACTACTGTACTAAAACACTATTTTGTTGTTAGTATCATCTTCCAAGGATAATAAATGATACTCTACAGTGAAGTGAGGAGGTAAGTTTCCTGTGGCAGTGGATGGGTATATGACAAGGGTATTTTCTTGTGATTAATTGGATTTTTATCTTCTTTAAATATACCGGTACAATACATATACAGTAAGACCTGGTTTATGTCAGGATGTGTTCATGAAAAGTGCAGCAGTTATCAAAATGATGTAAATCAAAGCAATTTTTTCCTTAAAAATTATTGGAAAAAGAGGAGTTGCACCCTGATAGCATTTATATTCATTTGCACATGTAAAAAATATAAATACATACGTCAGACAAATTTGGATATAAAGGAATATATTATTTAAGTTTAAATAACCTTTCGTATTCATACAAGGACAATTAGTGTGTGTCTTCCATAAGTCCGGTGCAACTGTACACCACCTGTCAAAAATACCAGTCACCAATATGTAATACAGTGTATAGATTTGTATACTGTAAAAGTATCTTAATATTTGGTACATTTGTATTGAAAATAATAATTTATGAAATATATTAATAATTTTTAATTAGCTGTGCTTGGGAAGAATATTAGTATGCATCCTTTATGTGTGCCAGGAGTGGCTGTAAGCCATGTGGCTATGAACAATGCATTTTAGTCACCAATATGTAAAGTATAGATTTATAGTACTGTACTTAACATTAGAGTACTGTATATACCACTAAATATAGATCCAAATTACAAACACTAAAATAATTAGAACATAAAAAAAAATCACCAAATTACTGTACTGTACATAATAAATATATTGTACTTTACAGCACTTACATGCATGTATGTGCTACACTAAGTAGTCCAAATAGTTAGGCAGCTCAGGAGACCGACAACAAAAAATTGAATGCTGATAATGATGTAAGTGCAGGGCAGACGTGATCTAAATTAGGTAGTGGTTTAAATTAAGTGATGATGTACAGTATTTGAGAGATGACTTAAGCCAGGGTAATACTGTACTCTATACAGTACAGTACAGTATTTATATTTCATGTGGATTTGAGTCAATGTGACTGTTGAGGCCTTTTATGCTAGTTATTTCCTATTGAGCAACTACACTTCATGAATTACCAGTAATCTCCATATACTGTATTTCTAGTTCCTCATTCAATAGTGCAGGGAGAGTTTGTCCTTTTTGTAGCCATTCCTCTTGATTTCCAAAAGAATTACAGTAGGAAACAGATTGTGAAAGTAACATAAACTGCATACTGTATTCTTACTGCAAGATGAACAAGTGTGGAGTGATTACAACTGATACTTCAGTTGTATATAATGAAGCTGACTCTCACTACAGATATCCTATGCGACAAGGTTGATACTGTGAAGCTAATTGTACTTGTCCACTTTACACTTATCAGATGATAGCATAATATTAGAAGAATACTGTTATATTATGCTGGATAACACTTTATATGATACTGTAGTGTACTTCATATATGTCACTTGGTTAACTTGGTGTAAAGTGTTAGGTGAAATTGTACCATCATGGTTAATATTAGTACAGTACTGAGAGTAAGAGAAGAATGACCAAACAAGATAATTCACCATCAAAGTCAGACACTATAATGCATTCCTTTTTTTTACATTCACAGAACATTTGATTTTGTTAAAGTACAGACAAAACAAACAGGTACAGTACAGTACAGTATTGCTGTAAACTTTATTACCTATACTCTATTTGAATTAGCTCTTTTGCTTTTTCTGTAAAAATTGTTTTACATATTTTACTGAGGCAATTTTTTCCACTGTTATAAAGTACTGTATATATTATTATATGACCTATTTATTTCAAATATCTTGGTATTTTATTTACTTCTTCACAGGTTTTTATGTGGATGATGGTGGACCCGAATACTGTATAGTGATTTTTATTCTTTAAAATAAAATATATTTGTTCATGTTCAATTGTATTTTCTTTAGCGTTTATCTTCACAATGGCAAGTAATGTATGCATGGAAAAATTTTATGTGCAGTTAGTCTGAAATATACTAGGAAACAATTCTTTATGGTAAGTATTTTCAACTGTTTCCTGTTTCTACGCTAAACATTCCTATAGATTTTCAGTACAGTATGTGCTAGTAGTACCCACTATAATTTTCTCACTACCACCTACTGCTCTAATTTATGATACTTTACCCTTAATTGTAAAATAATAGAAAACTTTAGTGGCTTATATCAGTCACCCCTGCTACTAGAGGGAGCAAGGAATAAGGCATTGAGATTGATATTGTACCTATATGCAATTGTATTTGTATTAATAATGTACACCACAGTATGAACCATTGAAGTCTCAAGATAAGAAAGGTACCAGCACACAAAACTGTGAGAACAGGTAAATTCTTTGAGGTGGGAATTGTAAACTCTTGAAACAATCTACCAATGAATGTTGAGATAGTTTCAAGTGTGAATTCTTTTTAACTCCAGACTTGGCCAATATTACTGGAACATGTTTATATACAGTACAAGAGTCTGTGCCCTACAATTACTTGCCAAAAAATCACAAAAAAGATAAAGACAAACAACCAACCAGCTAGTAAAATAGCATAATATTATGAAGAGGTTTATGTAAGGAAAATAATGGTAATAATAATGGTTGCCCCTCACGTAACGAGGATGGCTGGCCCAAGGGCCACATAGACATGAATAACCCAGTGTCAAAGAAAAGACCGGACAACTCGCCAACTGCACTGGCTAACCATTACCCCGGAATACGATTCGAAAATCGATTAATATCCAGGTTCCCTATTACTGCTGGGTAGACAGAGGCAAATGGTGTAAAGAAACTTGCCCATAGTTTCACCCTGCCTGAGGAGAATATAACCTAATTGACAACACCCAGGTATATGGCTTTCTGTACATGAATATTCCATTAGAGTAGTATTAATTTATCTGACATCTAAGTTGAATTGTTATGAATTCCTCGAGTGAAAAAGAAGAAAAACATTAATTTTCCTATGAGACACCTTGTAGTACTGTACGGCACAGGTGCATGTGCAAATGTTATTGTGGTCCATAGCATGTATCAGAGATGTGCGCAACACCTGTTCTTATAAATATGCAAGGCATCTCTGGTGGAGTAGTGGTACAAAATACTTCCTGGTCATTTAGTTGATAACCTCACTTTAACACAAGAATACAAAATATTGCAGTGAAAATAAAGCTTCGATAAAGATGGTGATATAATAATTACTTATACTATTGTAGTGGATTTCTCCCCTACAATACTATATTATCTACAGAAATATTATATCCACGACCCAAACTACTTTATGATTATAGTTATGAATGCCATTGTGATTTGTGGTAAAGAAACTTGAAAACATAAGTTTGCCTTATCAAGTTGGTTACATACTTTGTGGAGCTGAGACAGAAATACAGTACAATACAGTACAGTATTACTATCTATGGCCATCTTGAAAACTTATGTTATGCATAATTTAACCATGCGACGTTTGTTGTTCCTTAGTGTGACATAATTGTGGCCAATAAAATGGTTCGATCACAACAAACAACGGTAGTTTAGAATCGATGCCCCGTGCCAGTGGAAATCACTCTTCAGCACTGGCAGATAACTTTCCTGTAGGTGTAGCCGGGCAGGCGATTAATTTGTCACCTTACACAACAAGCTCCAGAGCCGTGAATAATAAACTTAAAATAACCAGTTTTATGTACCCCACCCCTCACAAAAAAAAACAATACTGTACTTGTAATTGTTGGAAACTTGAATCATTTGCACTGGGTGAGTACAATGCATCAACACATTACGGATTTCCGAAACAGTTTCTGATAAGGTTAATCTCCCAATTCTCATGCAGCTCTACTTTACTTCATATTATTCTCTACGTGGTAAAGAAGATAAATTTAAGTAAAGAATAGCCATACACACCTCATCAATAGTATGTACATGACCTGAAATACAGGTGACTATACATACCTAGCAGAGACTATTACTCAATACAGTACATGTAATTTTTTTTAAATGTTCAAAGGAGGGTAACCAGACTGGTGCTTGTGCTTCGGCACCTCATCTACCCTGAGAGATTGGAACGCCTGAACTTGCCTAGCTTATACTAGACAGGCAAGGGGCGACTAACTGAGGTGTATAAGCATCTCAAGGGGCATTACTTATTCCAGTGTCCTTACTTGGAGCTGGCGGACACTCGCCCCACAAGGGGTCACAGCTCAAGGTTGAAGAAGCCGCAAGTCCAGAAAACTGAGGGTAAACTTTTTCGGAGTGAGAGTTGTGAACTCTTGGAACAATCTACCAGAGAGTGTTGTGACGGCACCGAGTGCGAGCTCTTTCAAGACAAGACTTGACCAACACTGGAACAGGTTCAGGTACATTCAGGAGCCGGTGCATGCCCAGTACTTGCCAACAGTGCGTAAGAGACGTGACCGATCGCCCACGCGGCTAACGAGCCGATCAGTGGTGGAGAGGATAAAAAGTAAGTAAAAGTATTGAGTATATGACATACTGTATCACAAAAATAGCACCTTATCCCCCATTTATACGAAGATTGTATCGGAGACAAATTTTATAACATTACTTATTATAATATATGCAAGTTTCCTTTATTTCATTTCTAATGAAGTTTTACTTGACTGGTATTTTCTATGGTCATCACCACCACGTTTCCTGCTCTTGCTCCCCTGCCAGGATAACAATGCGACTTATCAGCACTAGCGAGACAGCTTGTAATTTTTTCTTCGGCTTCGGACATTCTGTTATTTGAAATGTTATTTGAGAATTAAATTTTACTGCAGATCATCTGCAGTAAAAGGAACTGCTAACTCAGTAAAAGTAAAAGTAAATATTTGAATCAACGTGTCATCAGTGAAGAACGCTGTTACTCTAATTTGGCACTTGAAAGCTCAGTCATATATGAACACTATTAAATTGCCTGTCCAGAACCTTCAACTCCACATTAGTGGTACAGCGGTAACGTACGTACTTTCCATGTATTATACAGTAGAAGACATTGTTCGGTAATTTAAGTTTTCTTGAGTTTAGGATAAAACTGACAAGTGGTGCCCGTTTTTTACTGGTGGATGTAAACACTTCCTCTCCGCTGGGTCGCAGTACCTGACGCAGCTGACTGGCTCAAGTCCCTCGCTCTCACTCCTCAGTGCCGCACACACCACCACCTGAGGTAGGACCACGATAGTGTTTCACCACACACTTTCTACTTTCTTTTACTCCAACAGATGTAAATCATTTCAAGAGATTACACAAATCTTTATTCTCTTCCTATTAATATCTATATGAACCCAAGATTATACTGTATGTGTGCACTATTAATGGAGCAGGTGTGTTATTGTTCATTGATAAAATGACACATGTTGTCATGCGTGACTCGCACGCACACAAGTGAACCTTGTCACACCACTATGGACCTACCTTATTTTCCCTTATTCAGGTTGAAGGCATGAATTTGGTGGTCTTCATCATTTTGTATTAGTCATCGAGTACTGCAATAAGCAAGATACTGGTGCTGTTTACCGTACCCGCCTTAAGGTGTTCCATCACCGTCTCTCACCTCAGTTGGGTAATTATTGACGACTGACCCACGGCCGATTGTTTATTGAAAACGATTATAAAAACGCCGCAATTTCACTTGTGTTTTATAGTGGCCACTGTTGTAGTGTGTGCAAATGTGTTAAAAAGTGGTTATTTCTAAATTAAACCTAACCTAACTTTAGTTGATATGAAAAACAGACCTCACTTATCAAACCTACCTTACTTCCTAGCAGACCCCCGGTATATTAAACAGAAAGAACTTACTATGATATTGTGTAATTTTACGTTTTTGTGGATGTGAGAGCAGCTGCCCTCATCGGCGTTGAACCAGCCCGGGCGGTGGAGTGTTGAAATATGTCATATACAACACATTGCACACAAACCCAGTTAAATTTCATAGTATTGCTGTGAAAAGTACTTTCCTTAGAAAGACATTTATAAATACAAGTACTTCAATACTGGGTTTAATATCTTCATTTTCAAGCTAAGTTCCTGTATAAGCACTAGAACTGTAGCACAGAACTGGTATTAACCTTCACACTCCACGTTACGCTGAAAATAAAACGGGCGCGGGAATGAGAGGCAAGTACGGCAAAAAGCACGTCCTCATTACCGCCCGGAAGACAAAGTAGTGCACCTTAGGCACCTAAATATCTACCAAACTAAGCATTTGCACAAGAAATAATGACCATATCAGTACTCGCTGATTAAAATAGAGTAAGAAAATAAAAAGTAAAGTAAATAACATGTCCGCGGGTCAGTCATCAATATTAACTCGCAGGGTTGTGTTCATCTGAGCCAAATTTATATTGCAGGAGAATGTGTCTGCACCACTAGCTAATTCTCTTGACACTGTCATAATTAGCAGTGCCACCACATTACTTTGTTTCCTGCAAGTATTTTTATACTTGAAATGTACAGGGTGTCTCATAAGAATTGTATCAATTCAACAAAAATGCTAAGAACTTGACACTGGAGTCAATTTAATATTCGTATAGGCTTACGGGTATCCAGATGCTCCACATCAACCAGTTTCAAAGGAACTTAATCGACAACACCTAAAATTTGTTGTCTAACAAGATTGAGAACAATTTAAGAATTAACGCAGAATATCAACATCTAACTCAACAACATTACTGAACCAAAGACGGTATTATTATTGTTTCGGTCATGCAGTGAATTTTAGACGGAGTGTCATGTTCACACAGAATCGACGTGTGTTTTGAAATATTTTTTGAAAGTTTGAAACAGCTGATAATTTACTTAGTACTGTACAGTTATGTACTGTATTTTCCCTATGGTGCTCAAGAATGAGACATCCTGTATACTTTTATTTAGTTTATAAATCTAGAGCCACTTTATACGTACAATTTCTTTTTTCACCACCATTAATACCTTAAGCGCTTTGGTAATACCTGTAGTTTACAATATCGTCCTATTAGAAGGAACCACTTTTGGGGGAAATGAAAATTCAATTGACAAAAAGTTTTCTACTTTTGTCTTTATATTTTTTCTTTCTGAACACAAACCTTCCCTGGAGCCATTGTCTGCCAATCGGGGACTGATTTATTATAAATAAGGTAAACCAACTAACCAAACCTAACCTCACCTCACCTTTTGCCATACTTACCAGTCTAGGATGGAAGAGTATTATTTAAGTTAGTTTAGGTAGATTGATTAGGGTATTTTGTCAACAATTCACAGGAAAAGTTTGCTGGGAAGCATTCGGTTACTCACTGCTGATTTGTTGTTGTTCAAGTACAGTTGTTAGCGATCACCATCTTGTCTTTTACACTTACACAAACATCGCAACTCAGCCAAAGCTCACTGGTTCAAGGATGTAAATGATAGAGTAAAGAAGGGTTGATTGTGATATTTCTCAGAGACTTTCAGTTTTGGGGTCAGTAGTGCATGACCACATATGGTTACTACAGTACAGTATACTGTATGGTTAACTTTTCTCATATGTTGGGGGTTATTATCAAGAACAATTGCCTTTGTTCTTGAGCCAGCTGACTTTTGTGAAATATGAGATTATCTTATGGTGAATCAGATTAATTTTTTGAGTTTGATTTGATGTATGTATTATTGCACTTGATTTTATATTTCATTGTTCCCTTATAATGTTCCTACAGTCTACCTAACTCTAAAACTAACAATATTTAAAGGTCAGTGGTGTGATGAATGGACAGCCACAATATTGTACACTGATTTGATGGTGAATTGTGTTAGGCAAGATGGTCGGATGGCTGGTTATACTTCAGCATGTACCAGATGTCATAGGCTAGAAAAAATATCTTCTGGTCATAATTGCCGGTTCAGATGAGAGAATGGCAGATGCAATGTCAACTTTTTATTTTAATATTTTGGGGTTGAATACCGTACTGTACAGGTACAGTAGTAGTTAAAGAATGGTCACATTTTAGTGACCATTGGAGACTTACTAATGTAAGCCTCTATGTAACTGAATTTAACCTGAACAAATCAGATCAAACAAGGAGCTGATGAAGTTGAAGTGATTTTATTCTTGTGTACTTCAGGAAGCAAGTAAAATTCTTGAACACATAATAGTGTACAGTAGTTTTTGATGGATTAGAATTTTTCTTTTCAAGTCAATAAAATTCCAGAAACAATTTTGGCATTACTGCATTAATAAAACTAGAAATATATCTATTGGATCCGCTCAATTACACTTCATCAAGCAGATAAATGTGATTTGTGAACCTAATAAATTATAGACTTTCAAATCTGACATTAGCACTGTGAAGCACATCCATTATATAGAGACTGAATTATTAATGTACTTTTCTCATAAAGGTCACAAAAACAATGGTTACTGTACAGTGCAGTATATGTTTTTTTTTTATTTGTTCTGAATAATGTTTTGTCTTGGCAAAGTGGGCAATTATGCAAACTAAAAAACAAAAACAATTGATATTGAATGTATTTTTCAACAATTGATCATCCTAAATAATTTGAACCTTAATTTCCAGAGAGTAATGGTGATCATGCGATCTGGGACAAGAACAAAAAAGGATACTTCACAGAATGCAACCTTAGAAGCTGAATCTAACGGAAAGACAATGAGTGGTTCAAGTGAAACCTCCTTGCATAGTGAAAAAGCTGATTCTACTTCAGTTAGTAATAAGGTATGATGTTTCTTAGTCAGCATTAGTACATACAGTAGTCGATGTAGGTACTGTATGACACACACACACACACTCTCTCTCTCTCTCTCTTTACCTGTACTCCTGGGAGTGTGATGTTTGACTAACATCATCTACATACATAAAACTACAGAGAACAAAATTCATCCAATAAAGGCCTGCAGTTAATTAGTAGAATCTGATATGAAAGTGTGAAGGCATTTATTTAAACTGCAAAGAACCAGATGTTAATAATGATTAAATATAAGAATTTTCCAGCCAAAACCTTCTGGAATCAACTTATTTGCCATTCCTCTTGGCCCCATAATGCTTATCTTTGAAGTAATGCAATCTTATACTGTATTTTCAACCAGAACTCGGTTGTGTTTTAAGTCCGAATCTGTTGGTAAAACCCTGAGATGGTAGATAAACTCTCACTCACACATAGCAGTAATATGATGGCTTAAGCCTGATACTGTTGCCAACTAGTCCTGGTCATATTTTAGACTGTTAACATTATCAGTGAGGCCAAGTATTGAGGTGGGCCTGTTTGGAGGAGATTTTACCTTGAGTCCATATCTTGTGTCAGTGGGAAGGCCATCTTCTCAGTTTTCTGTAAACCAACTTTAGGAATTTAAATGGATGTGTGTGTGTGTGTGTGTTGTTTTTAGGAATACAATTTTCTGCATATTTTTAACTACATATAAGAAATTAGCACATAAGATATTGCACATTTTTGGACCTGGAAAATCAGTCGATGGTCTTTGAAAAATCATACACAATAGAATTCTGATTTGTGTGGGAACCCTGGTGCAGACATATAGGTAGGGGATATTATTGCCTGATGGGAGTTTTTCATTGCAGTAATAATAATTTTCTTTTCAGGCTCCTTCAAAAATGCAGGGTATTGTGTTTATGAGTTTGATCCTGGACCTCCTGGGCTTTACAGTGATATTACCACTGTTTCCTGCCCTACTGGACTATTACTCCAAGCATGACACTAGTGGACTGTACTCAACATTACTCAGCTGGGTGGCCACATTTCAACACTTGATAGGAATACCAGCAAGGTTTAATTCTGTTCTTTTTGGAGGTAAGATTATATAAAAGTCACAGGTATAATTCATTCATCACTCTTTCCATGTGTCACAGTAATCACACCCATTCACAAACTTTGCCACATTATTTTTTTATTTGTACAGTATAATAGTCACTTTCACTTCCCAATTTTATGCATCAGTCCAAACTTCATCACTTTATTGTTAGACCTGCGACTCACTCAGTTAAACTTAGAATATTCATACAGAAGCATCATTGACTTTTAAATGAATGTTATTATTTTATATATTACCTGGGCTATCCTTCCGCCCTTTTAAAACAGTGTGGCTCAGTGACCATCTCCTCAACACATAATTGTAGTACAATCTTGTAGGTCCTAGAGATTGACACCTCTCTCTCACTTCTCACCTTTCTTCAGTCTTTCTGAAATATGTGTTCTCACTCACCTCCTTACAGCCTCCACCCAAGTCTTGAAATCTTCTCTTCCTCTCAAAACTTTCATACACTTGATGGAAATTGTAAAATCCACAACTCAAAATCTTCACGAGAACCCCTTACTAACTGGGCCATTCTTAAACCATTCAGTGGTCAGGTAAATATTAGAAAATACTGTAGAATAAATAAAAAAGGAAATAAGTAACAAATCAATTTCAGAGGAGCTTTTCTGTATTATATCTTAATATAGTTTTATTCTTTCCACACAGGTCTGTTGGGATCGTTGTTTTCTTTGCTACAGTTCCTTGCCTCACCCATAACTGGGGCTCTGTCTGATGTGTACGGACGGAAGCCCATCTATATTTGTACCCTGGTATGATCCTTTAATAAATATAATTGTTCTTGTACTGTACATACTCTTTATATAAAGAGTTATTTTCTATACTGTACTGTATGTATAGTTCACTTCTTAACCTTGTTGCAGGCCTGAGATCCTTCTGTTAATTTAGAAACTTCTGGTGTGTACATAGCCAAATTGGTCATTCCTGAAATCACTGCAGATCCAGTATGGAAAATTTATTTGGGGGTAAGGGTCCAACCTGGTAGTAATGAAGATGTATTGTTAATTTGAAGATACTGAAAATAACAGGTAAAGGGGATTAAGTCAGAAGCCAACCCAAAGTAAACATACAAACCACAATACCGTATACAGTACAGTATACTTACATTTGTGGACAATGAGATATTAACAAAATGCATAGAAAACATGAAAAATAGTATATTCTTTGTTATTTTGTGTTTTTAGGGATAAATATTTGATTTATAAATCATACTCTGTTAAAACCTTTCAACTACAGGGGATACAGTCACAATCCAAAGTTTCTATACCCCACTGGCTGGAGGGAAGGTGAAACTAAGGTTGAACAAAGGTCAGGCAAATGGAAATACCATACTTCGTTATATATTAATATTCATAAAATAATTATAGCCCTTGTGTGGTGTACCCCAGGTGGGGCACACAACCACCTGCACTACACACGGAGGTGCAAAAGTGAGTGGGGCACCAGTGGTACTGGTGTTACATAGGGAACCCTTTCACCCTACCTCATGTCGGTGTGGCTGACACATGCAAATAAGCGGGGTGTGCTTTGCAAATATCGAATATGGGTCTTAAAATAAGAATTGTGAATAGCAAGATATTCCTGTAGTAGTACAGTATGCGTAGAAATAGCAGTGCAGGTAGTAGTATACAGTATATAGTAGTAGTACTAATAATTGCATGCTTGGAACTAGTAATAGGCAGGTAGTTTTTGGTTACCTCGGTGAATTGTTGCCCTGCCTTGCTAGCTGTTCCCACATTGTGGGTTGGCTTTAAGATGGACATCCAACCATAAAACTTTGTTACAACATGCCTGATGGCAATTGGGTCACCAGAGCTGTGCTCATCCCCTGGTCTTCTGTATTTTCAGGACTGATGCACTGCCTGTACAGAGGGTACCGGGGAGAGTTTCACAGGCTGGCTCTCCTGCTTAATGGTCTAAATGTAAAGGGAGGAGAGCCAGAGACAGGCTTAAAGTGACATGAGGAGAGTTGTTAAAAAATGACAGAGTTAATAATCTTGCAAGTGATGGTGCAGAATTGAGAACTAACCCACACAAAGGTGGAAAATGCCGGTGAAACATTGATGATGATGAGTAGTACTATACTGTGGTAGTAAAAGCATGTGAAATTAGTAGGAGCAGTAGGAGGTGGAATACACAATGAATTTTCAGAAACTTTTAAAAGCTTTTTGGACATGTCCAGGATGAAGTGCTCTGGTACCTGTGTTAATGGTACACAGGACAATTTTTGTTTACTTTACTGTCAATACTTCACCAGTTAGTTATTCAAGGCCATTTCATTAAACTTCTCATCCTGCTTATCATAAGCCATTTATCTAAGGGAGACAAGATACAGTACTGTACTGCTTCACTCACCCATCAGCAATCAAGGCTTATCTAATTTCATTTCTTCAGTCATTTTTCAGAGGACACTAATAGCAAATATGTTTCATGAATCAGGAGGTTTATTCAAAATCTTTATCATTTTTTTTTTTCATTTCAGATTGGAGTTGCAGCATCATATGGGATGTGGGCATTAGCTAGCAACTTTGCAGTATTTGTGCTGGCCAGGATCATTGGAGGTGCAACCAAAGGAAATGTATCTCTTGCTTACTCAGTTATGACTGACATCTCTGATGAAAAATCAAGAGCCAAAGGGATGGTGAGTAAATAATATGTTGCAATAAAACTTAGTTTTCATTGAATTGGAATGTTTGCATTAACCTCAAAGGTATGTTTTATAACAGTAGTTACAAACAATTCAATCCCATTTAATTGGGAAACATTTACTGTATAGTTGGAGGGTACTGTATTTTGATATGCTGTACCAGACTTGTGATTATGCTAAAGAAATTGAGTTTTCAGTTAAAGGATAAGAGAGTTTAGGTCAGTTAGTCAGATGAAAGTAAATTACAATTTGACAATAACTATGATTAAGCCACAGGAAAAATTAAGCTATTGTTTTTATAAAATTTTTTCCCTATGTAAAGTTTTCTTAATTTATATTGTTTAAAGTTGCTTTAGAACCTTTTAATACCAGGTATAATATATATATATATATATATATATATATATATATATATATATATATATATATATATATATATCATATACAGCAGATAAGATTAACTATATGAAATTTTCTTTTATTTTTTGGGTCTTATTTACAGTAACTTTACATGTGTATGACTGAATATTCTTGTTCAGAAAATCAGTGACTTTATCTTACTTTTGTTGTGTGTTACCGAGTCATTAAGGACCAGGAGGGACCACAGGGAACTGATGTAAAAGAGGTTAATGGTTGTGTCTGATCTGTCTTGGCAAACCACACAATGTCATCACAGTTTTCTGTACAATAATGGTCATATGGTCATGCTCCCCTGTGTGGATGAAGGTGTTTACATTCAGAGAGTGACTGGTGATTAATGAGTAGATTTAAGTGATGAATGTCATATGTTGGTATCTGTTCCTTTCAGTGTTTTTCATCTGTTAATAGCCTAGGATTAATTTTATAAAATGCCTGGATGCACAGATTTCAGTACACTCAGATAATAGTTTAAAGCTGTGGTACTAATATACTTGTCCTCTGATTAGAACTTCAGGAGAAGTTGGGAGTGGGAAGGGTTTGGTATAAGTTCACAATTCCTCAGGTTTATTACCACCAAGAAGAGTCTGGAAATGTGTCTGGTGGGTTTAAATTAAAGTTTATAAGTACTATTGTGGTTTTATGATAATTTCTGTTTAATTGCATTTGCTCCCTCAGGCCTTGATAGGGGTGGCATTCAGCATTGGGTTCACCATCGGCCCTGCAGTAGGAGCCATGTTCTCCCGCTGGGGAAGCACAGGCTGGTTTGCAGCTTCTGCTATGTATGCACTCGCACTAGCTCTATGCAACATTGTTTATACATACATCTTCTTCAAGGAGACCTTGCCTGAGGTATGTCACTCCCAATGTTAGCAAATTGACTAAAGTTATGGATGAGGATATTTTAAATTCTTTTAGACTTGGAACTGAATTTCCATTGTATTTAAAACTATTTTGTTCTGACAAATATTTTGTGATTCCCAGACAAATAGAAGGAAATCAGTTGCCTCAGGACTGTCACAGGCATGGGAGCTGATCAACCCAAGGTCACTCTTTTCCTTCAGTCCTGTCAAAGGACTTGAAAAGCAAGGTAAGGAAATAGTGTGTACAGTACATATTGTCAAAAGTATTTATTGTTATAATTTTTTACTCTATGCATCCAGTTATCTATGATTAGGACAATATATTATGAGTATTTACTAATGGGAACAAGTTTCGTGGCTAAATGCATCTCACTCCTGATCTGGGAGTGTAGGGCTTGTGACTCCACCTTCATGTGTCATATAATCAATACTGAAGGTGATATGAAAGTTATAGATGTGTCAGGTGCATATACAGGTACTTGGTGTTATGGACCTAATGAAAGAATGGTTGGTGCAATATTAGTAAAAAGAGTGTGCAAGGAAGAGGTGAATTGTAGGAGATATAATGATGCACTTGAAGTAAAGAAGATGAACATTTAGGAAACAGCAGAGTGTGTGTGTGTGTGTGTGTGAAGGAATGGAGAATATGGTATCAAGTGATTTTGGGGGGAATGGACATACAGGTATTCCTCATTTAATGATCATTCACATAGCAATATTAATTTTTAACACCCTTTATTGCTTAACGATGGTAAATTTTCGGTTTAACGATGTTCGACTTATTGGGAAAATTTGGGAGGGAAGTTGGAAAAACTGTTGATTCTGTGCTTTAAGTTTCACATCATTAGGATATTCTAATGTGGCTTAGGAATTAAGAAAATACTGTCCTGTTTAATATAAAACTATAATAAGAAAAATGAAGAGCATGTATTTGTAAGTATAGGAAATGAACGTTTTTGTTGATGCGGTGAGCTGTAACTGTGGCCAGATCCCCCCCCCCTCCCCCATGTGATGTCATGGCATACAGGCAGCAGCCACACATGCCTCTGAGTCAGCTTAATGACTGCCCGGCTGAACTGTATTGTGTGTATACTGTACCAGTAAATGTGAGGAATAAATAAAAAAAAAAAAAAATACTGCGTCGCCATTTGACAATTGTTTCACGGGACACGAGACAGCAAACAGCTGAGAGATCCCCTACGCCGCTGCCCTCTCCCCTTCCCACTACCCTACTCTGTGTGCCAACTCCTGGGCACGCAAGAAATGTCTGTTCCCGTTATGTGTTGACCTTATGATAATATTTTTAAGTTATTTTTTATTTATTTATTTTTTGCTTATTTTGTATGAACGGTTATGTGTGTGCATGTAACAGAGTAAAATAAATGCAGAAAATTATGTTTATCTACTCAAGATTACAGGTTGAACAAAAACTTAGCTCAAAGCTTGGCCTCACCCGTTCTGAGTACTATTGGGTGGCAAGTCGGCTACACAGTTACATGCCATCTCCATGGATATTATTCCTCGTTATCCTTCATTTAACGATATTTTCGCTAAACATTAGATTTTTCAGGCAAGCATCCCCATCATTAAATGAGGGATACCTGTAGTATTGGTTTGTGTGAAGCAACAGGGACAAACTAGATTTGAGGCCTTGTTGTGGAAAGGGAGCACCACAGCAGAGCAGTAAGAATTTATGAATGACAAAGTATCAGAGTTGCATTTACATTCACATTATGATTAACTTTCAGAAAGAGCAAAATTGGTCCAGCTGGGACGTGTGTATTTCTTGTACCTCTTCCTCTACTCCGGGCTGGAGTTTACTCTGACCTTTGTGACCCACCACAAACACAGCTATGACTCAATGGCACAGGGCCGTATGTTCTCCTACTTAGGATTAGTAATGGCCTTAATGCAAGGAGGTTATGTGCGACGTGTCAAAGATGGTAGTGAGAAAGCCATGGCCAACAAGGTGAGTTATCCTTCACGTCATACCAGTATAGTATCCACTGTTAATGATCATTTTATTGATATTTTTATTTGAGTTTTGTTGTGAATATTAATTTCAGGGATTCTTTTATATAATTTTAATGTAACTCTTTTATTGTAATACTGTATATGTATTTGTGTATTGTATTATATTAATGCAGATGAATTCTTTAGGGTCTGATCATGATGATACCTGCCTTCATCTTAATTGGTGCCAGTGAAACAAACTGGGGTTTGTACACTGGACTGACCTTATATGCTCTAGGTAAGTGTTGTGTGTCAACCATTTGTATGGCTGGTTTGGTTATCACAAACTAGATTTTCAACAACACTCAGGAATATTAAACTACAGTATTATCAACATTATTAAGTTTTAACATCATGAGAAGAATTTTTTCTTTTTAAATTAATAATACACTGTGTTGACTAAATATAGGAGTATGGAAAATGGCTGTAAAACGATGATAATGATATGGCAGGCAAGCAGGAAAAGACAATCACCACGCATGTGTCTGGGATCCTGTCACATTGACATAACAAATCACACGGCATTATCGGGGTATTGAATGCCTAGGTACACACAGAGACACAAGTGGAGCCTCAGACACTCAGCAGGGGAGGGAGATGTAGAGGTGGTCTGCAATGCCTACAGCCATCTCATTGGTCAGGCACAAAGAGTATGCCACTGCCTTCTTACCCACATTGGGTGAGTAGCCAGTTTGCAGTATCCAGCACAACACCTGATATGTTTATGGCACATCAATAGAAATCACCAACCTCATGACTCACTCACCTGGTTACTCTGTCTCTGCTGTTTAATGGTTGCAGCTGGTCAGTGTAGGAATTTGCACCTAGGTCTGAGTAAGGTTGGATCACTGGTACATTCCTTCTTTCCTTTGTCACTTGAGGTCATGTTTACCCTCTAGCAAGGCAGAGCCAATAACTACCAAGGAGGCAATCATCACCATTATCATATAGCCAGACACAGGTGTACTGGTAATTACAGACCAATAGGAATTAGTTTTAATTAGATATACTGTAATAACAACAGGGAACTACCCAAATACTTTTCTTCACATAGGCTCGTCCATGATGGTCCCGTGTCTCACTGCATTGGCTTCCTACCATGGTGCAGAATCTCATAAAGGTACCTTATTGGGCATTTGGAGGTCTTTAGGAGCTTTGGCAAGAGCAGTTGGACCAGTTGTAACATCTATAGGTCAGTATTCTTAACAATTCTTTCAGCTTTTCTCATTTTCTCTTACAAAAAGTATATTAATGTTCATAATACATTGTGCTCTTTATTGAGGTCTAAATATTGGAATGTATGATTTAAAGCGAGTCTTATAAGGAGCAATAAACAGATTATTCCTTGCTATGTTTTAATCTAAATATTTCTTTCAGTCAGTTATTTTCAGAATTTTCTGTGTTAATATACGGGGTATTTATTTTAGGAATCTCAATTTTTCTAACCCTTCCACCTTTCTGTCACTGTACTGTACTCTATTCTTTGCCAAGTAAAGGGTCTTTTGCAGAATGTGGAAAACAAGACAGGAATTAATTTTTTTCATCTCTTCTTATTTCTAGATAACTTATTGATGACTCCACTATTATGAATTTGTACCTCTTATGTTGATGGTAACATTTACTATGGTGTTGATGAGAGGTCATAAATAGATAAGTGGTTGTTTTATACATTTCTTTTATCAGGTTTCTGGTCAATGGGTGCTGAGCTGTGCTATATAATAGGAGGATTGTCCATGGTGTTTCCTCTGATCTTGTTGCAGTCGTGCTGAGCTGTCACGGTAAGATGTGTGTGTGAAACTCTACCTTCTGTCGGGTTTTTGTTGCCATTTAACAAAAATGTACAGTTGTCAGCAAAAGTTCTCCACACACTTGCTACACATGGCTGTGGGAGGACTTTTGCTGGCAACTGTACATGTGAATCTTTTTCATTTTTATTTGAAATGTTGTGCAGGTATGTTTTTGGTATCTGCTGGTGTGATACAGTATATGGAAGTTGTGAGATGTCAGTACATATTTTATTTTTTATTTACCTTTGTAGGTATATAAAGCCTACATACATTTTCAGGGTAATAATCTGAGCATGAATGGACTAGGTAATGATCTTGTGGGAAACACAAAATATATGTGTGAGGCCATCCCCTTCCAATCACACCTGCACTGTAATACAGTATAGAAACTCACTCATTTCTATTTACTCCACTATATTTTGTACAAGTTATGGAAAAAAGCTTTATAACAAGTTAAAGTAGGTTGTTTTTATAAGATTTTATATATAAAAATAATTTTGATGTGTAAAGCAATATTTTTGTTCCAATAAGGTAAATCACTTTTTAAAAATGGATACTGTCTGTATTGTTTGTGAGAATTTGTAAAGAATATATCCAAGATCTTATTTTTCTAATCATCACTTTTATGGATTGTTATCTAGATGAATTTCATGTCTGTCTGTCTGTCTTGATATAGGAATGTAGTGTGACACACCTAACAACTGCTTCTGTGTGTGTTTGTGTGAATATGATGGTGTTACTAAGTAATGATACTGAAAATTAACTTAAGATAATGATCTCTGAAAATAATGATTGTATGCTTGATCAGTTTTTGTCTCAATTCAAACATTGGAAGTCTTCATATGCCCATTGAAAATGTACTCTATATCATGTGGCACTGATGTCTTGGTGGCTGTTCCTAAGCTTTTCTCTGTGTGGAAGCTAACTCTTATGTCAACACATGTTTTGATGAATTTTATATGAGTAATTATTATCGACACAGTTAAGTATACCAGATTTAAGTCTTTGTCGAAAGTCAAAGGGGCAGTGAAAGGATTAGGGTCATTTATGATGATGGGTGTATGGTGTGTCACGGTTCTCCTGTTTCTGTGTGGTAAAGATTGTAGCATAAGTCTGTACTAAGATATTGTTCACAGAGGTAACTTCAGGGGTCATATCAGGGATTCAGAGTTGCTATGATATCGTTTTTGGAACCTGTGTGAATGTGTATGTGTTTAAAGAAAATATTTTTAATGTGATGACCCTAAGAATCATTGCTATACCAACCTAAACATGTATAAAATTCAGGACTTTTATGGAGATGTATATGTTCCCAATACACCTGTGATTTTGAATTTGTTTTAAGTTCTGGGGTTCAGAATTAAATAACACTGATGTTGAGGCCCGTGGACACACTATAAATGTCCTCTCTGTGCACACATACACAAGTTCCAACTACTGTACCATGTTTGAATCAAGACAATAAACATTTTGCAATACTGACTGTATACTTAATTATATATGAAAGCTCATATAAGAGGTTGTTATAATAATATGATAGTGTATTTGTCATTATATTTTTGATACTATTGTGATACTAATGTCTCTTTAGTTTTGTATTTATTCCCCCCCTGGTGTGTTGGTTGGATCAAGGCTTACATTAAATATGAAATTTTAAATACAGTAAACTTCTTTAATTCAACAGTTAAGGGGTATTATATTGATGTAACCAAATTATTGTAATTTATTTTTTAGAAACATTCCATCACAAATGCTTTAATGAAGATTTAAAAGTTCATTGATTCAGTAAGTTATGCAGGAGTTTATATATATTTTTATACAGTAGCTTCAAATTTAAGAGCACTTGAAATTCTATATGACACATGTTAACCTTTATATTTTTAATAGCATGTCAGATTGTCTAAGGTGACAGATAAATAAAAGTGTTGAGGTACTGGTATGTGGAATTGAAAATCAAAAAGATGAAAATAGAGAAGTTCATAATGGCTGTTTATCATAGGTAAAGAAGAAGCTGTCCCTCTTTGTAGTTAGTTTGGTCATGCTGTCAGGCACCCCCAAAGTAAATAAATTTTTCAATACTCAAAGGGGTGCCAGCTCACAGTGTTGGAACAAGCACTGGGCATATCAAGATGTTGTGTATGATAAAGTAGTTCTGAAACTATGTTGTAACACCACTGCCCCCGCTGGCTGTAGTATCATTTAATGTTTCACAAATAGATACAGATCTGAAAACAGAGAGGCCTGAAGCCTTCATCTGGAGTAAACATCATTAAGGTTAGTTTGTAAAATACTACAATCACACAGGTCTTCTTTATAATGGGCTTTTGGGGGTTATCATCCCCAGGTGGGAATTGTCCCCTCCTTATATTTGAACTTATTTCCTCCCAATGCTGTAAGTTCCATAATAAGAAAAACAGAAGTGAATTAATACTGTACTTAAAAGATTTAAACCAGCATAAGGGTTCAGTGTTAGTCTGAATCAGTGTATGTACAGGAGACACTGATAGTGTGTATGAATCCAAATACAGTATCAGTACAGCCTATAAATAAGCCTTCAGCAATATATAAAGGGCACCTGACAGGTTCATAGAAAGCACAATGTTGCTTTTTAGTTCCATAGACACATTGTTGATATCTTCTGTACACACAGTCTTCAGGAGCATTATTGTACTAATATTGAGCCCATAAATGGGGCATTTAATTATTTCTTTATGTACATGAACCATTATATCTGATACTGTATAGTATAGGAAAAAATTCAAACTTGGTGTTTACAGCTGTTAATTTTGTTTGCTTGTGCAATATAATTTATTAATTTTATTTTGTATTTACTTTTATTGCCAGTACATGTGTTTGTGTTACCACATTTGAATATTCTTTTTTTTTATAATTATCAGTTGCTGAAGCATGTTGTTTATACAGTACAAACATTACCAGATCTTTGTACTGTACCTGATTTATATAAATGGAAAAGAGATTCCTCATCTAACAAGGATTTATGTCACCTATTATAGTTTTTTATTATTATTATTCTGTAGCTTTATAATGAAATTTTAGTCATAGAATATTCATAATCACAGAAATCTCATTTTTTGTTGTTAATGAAATTCCAAGAATTAATCTCCATAGTACTCCAGTAATGGATTTGATTTAAGATTTTTTGTATTTGCTTGATTCTCACTAAGTTTAATATAAGTAATGTACAGTACTCTAATCCTTCTTGTACTACAGACCAACCAATGTTAATTTCTCCGTCTTTACAATTTGAAACACTTGACGAAATGCTTTGATATATTTTCCATTGCATCGTCGAATATGGATATGCCTGCTCCCATATTAAAATACTGTTTGCAGAACATACTTGTAAATAAAATATCTGCAGGATTAAAACTTAATAACTGGTTATGTATTTTGGAATTCTGCCAGTTCTTTAAATGAAAGTGTTACCAAATAATATGGTCCACATAATAGATTATGGTTGTACTGTACTATACCAATACCTGTGGTCAATTGTTCTAAAACTAGGGGACTAACACTGCTCATAAAACCATGAACTACATTGACTCGTGAGTAACGATATTTTTTGGGGGGGATTGTATGTACATGCTTACCACACCCAATAATGTTTTGTGCATGGTGTCAGTTTATGATAAAGATGGGGTTAAAATCTGTAAGTTGTCTCCCTGGAAGGTGATAGTTTGAAAAAAAATGTATTGTTTTAATTAAAGTGTATTAGCAGTCTGTACTGTAGTATCATTTAAGGTATTACATCAGTAAGATTGTTTATGTTTGTAGCAAGAAAATCATTGATACTTGGTCATTCATTATCTCTGATAATATACTTTGTTCCCTTAGACAAACAAAGTGAGGACTAGTATTTTTTTCTAAATTTCAACCACTGATCATCCTCACACATAGTATGTCTGTACAGTTTCTTTATTGTTTTCCCATCTCTTGCACTTTTTATTAGGATGGATGAAGGTAAACAAGGGAGGATATGGTAGGGGAGAGTAAGACAAGAAAGGTGTAGAGAGCAACAGGAAAAGTCTAAAACAACAAGTAGAAATGCGCCACACTCACTACCTCGCATGCTCAACTTGTAGACCAAATATTGTATACAAAGCTTAAAAGAATATTAAATACTTGCTGGAGAATGCTACTTTTCTCTTTAGCCATTATCAAGTAAGCACCACCACTTACTAATATTGTACAGGGTACTGGAAAAGGAGTAATACATTATACCTGTCATAAATCACATTATTGTCCTTCACCAGATTTATCATTTTATTGCAGTACATAATCATTTAGAATACAAGAAACTATTAAATGGCAATATACTACAGTATACTGTATATACTTCATATGGTGATGAGGAGAGGCAATAAACAAGACCTTGTATATTTTTTCAAAATATTAATATAAAAGCATTTAATTGATATTGGCTGACAATTCAATACTGCATAGTTGTTATTTTTAACTTCAATCACAGTCCTCAGTCAAATAATGAAGGTACATCTAATGTCTTACATTTTGTTAATACAGGTATTTCATTTTACATATGAATATAGTGAATTTTCATTTGTAATACTGTACAGTATATTACATTTATCGGTATGTATTGTCGTAAAGTATGAGGAATGTATTCTTTTCATGTTACTTTACCTTGTTTTGGGGCTGCCTCAATGGTAGAAGCATATACAGTAGTAGTTGTTCATGCGGAAGTTGAGCCAGGGTATCGTACCAGCACCCCCTTACAACACTCGGTGAAAGAACTGTCTTCAAGTACAGTACTTGTGATAAATGTACAGCCAGTCATGATGGAGGTGTATAAAGAGTAGCCATTTTCTGTGGCTTAAGACCAGTCATTGAGAATATAAGATACAGTACTGTATAGTGTTTATGTTATATTGCTGGAAATTGAATGTTGAACAGATAGTTTGTACTGTACAGTACATGGAAAATTAGCATAATGGAATTACACGTGGTAAGCTTTTCAAATATTTTCACCATAGAACTGAAATTGGTTAATTTGAAATACAAATGCAGTACAGGTAGATGGTTTCCCAGAAAGGAAAATACTGTTCATTCAAGAAGAGTAAGAGGTAATTTATATAATAATAACTTGCATTTTAGGCAGTGTTGAAGATTGTCAATGGTCCAGAAATATCTCTGGGTTACTGAAAATTGTGTGCAGCAGTCCAACTGGCCAGCAGGTAGGGAATAAAAACATAGACTTTGTACTATTTTGCTAAACTGTATGTAACATATGTGCTATACTACAGTACAATATTGTATCTGTATGTATATTATAATTTGTAAGAAAAAAAAAAAGCAATTAATTAGTGTTAGGAAAGTAATTAAAAATTTTGAGATGTCATTTGGACAAGTATTTATGCAGATATCAAATTACAGGCAACAGATCCTTAATCAGAATGTTCATGAGTACTGTACATACAGTATACTGTATTGAGAGTTGGAACAAAATCAGTGAGATCAAAATTATGTCCAAAAACATATTTTCTCTCAGAATTGAAATTTAATGTATCTAACTACTGAACTGTATTTAAGTGCATCCAGAATATCACACGAACATCAAAAAGTGACCTTGAAAAATCATACAGCGAGTAATTAGCATTAGGAAAGTAATTAATGTTACAAAAGTAGGGGGTCCAGACTCCCCTTTTTCACCAGAAAACTCCAATAATTTGTCTTTAATGCAGTACAGTATTGTACTCAGCCATTTTTTGAATAGTAAAAAGTAATTACTATTAACCTCAGAATATCTCCTTAAATCATGAGCACATGCCAGGAAGATCCTGCTTAGCACAATTACTCAAGGTACTAGATGTCTGGACTCAAATTCTAGAAAACAAGGCAGAAATATCGACATTATATACCTAGATTTTGCCAAGGCTTTCGACAGTGTACCCCATGAAAGGCTGAGAAACAAACTGGAAGGGTACGGGATTCAGGAAAGTGTCCTAGCATGGATCGGAGACTTTTTGTGTGACTGCAACAGTGTGTGGCAATAAATGGTACGAAATTGTCATGTGTACCTGTGACTAGCAGGGTACCACAGGGCAGTGTATTGGGTCCATTGTTGTTTGTCTGTTTCATTAAATGACATGCCAGAAGCTATACACTCCTTCATACAAATGTTTGCAGATGATGCCAAGTTATTTAGGGAAATTAAGAACCAAACAGACTATGAAGAGCAGCAGAAAGATCTCTATGAGCTTCAAGAATGGTCGAGGAAATGGCTGCTAAATTTCAATGCCACACAGTGCAAAAGGATGCACCTGGGTCATACCAATAGTAAGGAGGCGTTTCACATGTCCCAACAGAACGAGGAGACTGCATTAATTTGAGAACAAATGTGAAAAGGACCTGGGTGTTTATGCCAACAATGAACTTAAGTTCTCGGGCTATTGTGAGAAGGTGAATCAGGTAACGAAACTAGTGGGTATTATAAGAAGGTTGTTTAGATATCTGGCTGGTCCGTTGCTCGTCACAATCCTCAAGAATGAGGAGCTTCCCCGTCTGGAGTATTGTTACCTCGTCAGGTCCACGCGGTATGCTAGTGTCAATTCATTGTAAATGTACAAAGGAGGGTCACCAGACTGGTGCCTGCTCTACAGAACCACAGTTAACCAGACAGATTGAAGTGCCTGCAACTACCTAGCTTATACTACAGACAGGTAGGGGCGACATAATTAAAGTGTATAAGCATCTGAGGGGTCATTACTCGGCGGACGTCCGCCCCACAAGAGATCACAGCTCAAGGATGAAGAAGCCTTAAGTCCAGAAAACTGAGGGCAAATTTTTTCGGTGAGAATTGTGAACACTTAGAACAAACTGCCAGAGAGCATTGTGCGGCACCTAGTGTGAGCTCTTTCAAGAACAGGCTTGACCAACACTGGAGCACGTACCGATATATTCAGGAGCCAATGCATGCCCAGTATCTGCCAACAGTGCATCAGAGACGTGGCCGACCGCCCAACCGGCTAACGAGCCGATCAGTGGCGAAGAGTAAAAGTATGTAAGGTGGATCGTGGGCGTAGGCTGTGGCAGTATACAGTTTCCTATGATTTGTATCAAACAATATAATAATGAAATATTTGAATATTGTGTACAAAATAATGAAGTATTTATAAACTTCAGATTAAACTGAATTTAAATTTAATAGTTGCATGGCCATAATTTTCTTTCAATGTGAACCATCTTTATTACGCAATATATTTTCTCATTTTAATGTATTTCATTCATATCACATCGCATTTCATCCGTTGTGTATTAACAATGGTGAGAGTCACTGGTGTTCGGCGTTGGCTCCCTGTTAACAAGCGCTGCCAAAGAGTGTTGAGCTGTTGACATGTACATTATAAGGTGTGCAGGCGTCTCTGTCAAGAGTGTTCCCGGGAAGAGTTTCAAGTGCTTATATCATCAGACTCCCTAACTATATAATACCTGATCCCTTTATTGGTCGTCCAGCTTGTACACGTCAGATGGCATTACGTACTCTATGAACAAATTTTGGTCAAATGAGATACATTATTATATATTTAATTTTTTTGTGTTTTACTCTACTTTTATGGTATCTAGAAGTTAATTAATTAATTTCATAAATATAAATATTATTTTTATATTTTAAAGTACTTTATATATAACAGTTAATAATTGTAATTTATCGTAAAGCTTTAATTTGACCTTAGAGTAGTGCTGCTCTTGGTGAAGTGTCAGACGAAACGAAAAGCGAAAGCCAAGATGTTAACAAAAAGATTTATCTTCGTGTGCTTTTTCCTGGGCACCTTATGCCATTTTGCTGAGAGCTTGTATTTCCATATTGGTGAAACTGAAAGAAAATGTTTCATTGAAGAAATTCCAGATGAAACTATGGTAACAGGTGAGTGAGACGCCTTCCTACAACAACACGTAGCGAATATTGGGTGGTCATTTATGGCACAGGTTGACGGTGAACATCTTGAGGGCAGTTACAATAACGGGATATGACTCCTGATTTTCTTTAGTTCAGACAGGCACGCTTAAATAAGGCAACAAATACATAACCGGTACCACAAGTAGTTGACTAGAGGTTCAGGAGTGAGTGAGATATGTTTTATGTTTTGGTGTACTGAAATACGAAGAGTGTGAATGAATGAATACCGAGGGTTCAATCAGTATGAAGGACGAATTTTATGAGTTTATGTTAGTAGAACTTGATCAATGAACCATGATTCACATTCGTAACTTGTGCTTCTCCAGGTGATTTCGAATAGGGTTTTAAAATTATTGCTTCCAGTAATTTTCCTGCAATTGATGTTAACCTGATTGGATCTATCTCCCTTCTTGCAAATAGGTATCACATTCGCTATCCTCCAGGATTCTGGCACTACACCCGTTTTTAATGACATGTTAAACAAATTTGCTAAGGGCATACTTTTATTTTTTACTTTTATCCTCTTCGCCACTGATCGGCTTGTTAGCCGCTTGGGCGATCGGTCACGTCTCTTTTCATTTATATTCTTCACCAAAAGATCGGCTCGCTAGCCGCCCGGGCGATCGGTCACGTCTCTGTCACGCACTGTTGGCAAATACTGGGCATGCACCGGCTCCTGAATGTACCTGAACCCGCTCCAGTGTTGGTCAAGTCTTCTTGAAAGAGCTCACACTCGGTGCCGTCACAACACTCTCTGGTAGATTGTTCCAAGAGTTTACAACCCTCACTCCGAAAAAGTTTGCCCTCACGGTTTTCTGGACTTGCGGCTTCTTCAATCTTGAGCTGTGACCCCTTGTGGGGCGAGCGTCCGCCAGCTCCAAGTAAGGACACTCAACTGAGTAGTGCCCCCTGAGATGCTTATAAACCTCAACTAGGTCCCCCCTTGCCCGTCTGTAGTATAAGCTAGGCAAGTTCAGGCGCTCCAATCTCTCAGGGTAGCTGAGGTGCCGAAGTGCAGGCACCAGTTTGGTGGCCCTCCTTGAACATTTTCAACCAACTGACAGTCCCTAGCATATCTCGGGGACCAGATGGGGTGACAGTACTCCAGATGGGGAAGCACTTCACTCCTGAAGATCGTCACGAGGGACGGACCGTCTAGATATCTGAACGACCTTCTTATAAGACCCAATAATTTATTTGCCTGATTTACCTTCTTCTCACAATGGCCCGAGAACTTCAGCTCATTGTCAACATACACACCTAGGTCCTTCTCACACACAGTCTCAACTAGTACATTTTCTTCATCCCGTTGGGACATATGATACGCCTCCTTACCGTTGGTACGCCCCAGGTGCATCCTCTTACACTTCGTGACATTGAATCTCAGCAGCCATTCCTTCGACCATTCCTGGAGCCCACAGAAGTCCTTCTGCAGCTCTTCACAGTCCGCTTGGTTCTTAATTTCCCGAAATAACTTGCCATCATCGGCAAACATTTGTATGGAGGAGTGTACAAAGTCAGGCATATCGTTTATGAAACAAACAAACAACAGCGGGCCCAATACACTACCCTGCGGTACCCCACTTGTTACAGGTACAGATGACGATTTCGTGCCATTAATCACCACACATTGCTTGCGGTCATGTAGAAAGTCTTCTATCCACGCTAGGACATTTCCCCGAATTCCGTACCCTTCCAGTTTGATTTTCAGCCTTTCGTGGGGTACACTGTCAAAAGCCTTGGCAAAATCTAGGTAAATATTGTCGATATTACCACCCCGTTCTAGAATATGGGTCCAAATTTCCAATACCTTCAGCAATTGTGTCAAGCAAGAGCGCCCCGGCATAAAACCGTGTTGGCAATCTTTTACATTCCTTTAATGCTCTGGCAAATATCTCATCTTGACCTGGTGACTTATTAGGCTTTAGCTTATCTATTTGCTTACTAACATTGTTAGGAGTCACTACTATCTCGCTTAATCTATTTTCTTCACTATCTCTGTATATAGTCGGTGCCTTGGGTATCATGTTTAAATTTTGGGTGGTGAAAACTGTTGAAAAATACCTGTTCAGATTATTGCTCATTTCTCCGTCAACAGTTAGCTCACCGGTATTGGTCCAATCTTGTCCCGTGTTTTAGTTTGATGAATTTGAAAGAATCTCTTAGGGTTTAACTTTGCCTCCCATGCTACCTTCAGTTCATTATCCCTCTTTGCTTCTCTTATCTCGGTCTTAACCATACTGGCCAATACCTTTTAATAGTCTCGGAGGTAAACTTCACGATGTATTCTCCAACCTGTAGCCTTCCTTTGGCCAATAATATTCTTTAAATAATTATTTATCCGGGGTCATTGTTATTTGATCCGAGTTTTCTGTATGGTATGTTCTGCCTTTGTGCATTAAGTAACTCATTATTTAAATTGTTGTGGAACTCGTCAACCTTAGATCTCGTGATCAGGTTATCCTCAACCGTCATATTTTGTGAGGGTGTCATTGTCAGGTCTCCAGGTAAAGTGATCTTAATTGTGAACTAAATATAAAATTCTATAGATATAAAAGTAAAAAATCACCTCCTGCACATATGTGCATTAATATATTAATAAGATAGAATGAAAGGATAAATGATAACAAATCAGTCCCCCCCCCCCCCTTTTACAATCTATGCTGCTGTTTATCATTCATGCAAAAATGTGTAAACTTTTACTTTTTAGTCTGAGTTCGTTAACCTAAGTGGTCCGAGTTGGTTATCTGAGATGATTCAAGTTCATGATGTGACTTTACTTTTCCCGTTACTCTGAATTCACCTTTAAAGTTGCTAGTTGACCTTTCACTGCCTCATAATACTCTATATAATGAAGTAAATAGACAACAATTACTGAACTATGTCTGACTTTAGCAAGAGCAAACCATAGTACTGTACAGTACAGGGCTGTTTCTGTATGCAGGGATGAAATTATGGAATTTAGATGGGTGCTAGTCCCGATGAGTTTTATGCCTACCTACTGTATTCAATTTCACTATCGCACATTAATGGTTTCTTACCTCATGAAAATTACAAAAAGTGCATGGGCAATATGGTTTGTGTGATGTGAATGTTTTTATTTATTCCAGGTATAGGTACAGGATGAGGAGCCGCCAACTAACATGTGATGCCATATTGTTTTTATCTCAAAGTGAAGGCATATCGAACACTGTGGTTAGATAAGAAATCTTTAACTTTTTGTTTCTTGGAGACAGTGTCAAACAATTGAAACATTAATGGAATAGCAAGAACAGGACATAATTCCTGAAGTGAGGCAAACTTACAATAAAGACAAATTTTGTGCTAATTCCTACGTTAGAGGAATAACTTACTAGGTACAGTACTGTACTGTTGCATTATGGTACATGAGAAGAATGAGCTATCTGAACCTAACCTGAAATATTAGTTTTCATAGTTTATAAAAAAAAGGTATGAAAGAAACTATTAAGACAGATCGGGGGTACAGTACTGACTACTGCCACAACATAATACATCATATAGTATAGATTAAACCAACCTATCTAAATATCAGAACCTAACTAAACCTACTGTAAACTAATACAGGTGCTCCTTTACTTACGAACGAGTTACGTTCCTGAGGCTTGTTTGTAAGTCCAACTTTACTCGTGTAGATACCAAACATATTGTAAAAAATTAAAAGATTATGGATATTTAGTACAGCTATGCCCTTTAATACAGCCTTAAAACCTGGCTCACTCTTCTCCTCTTAGGTAATATTTGTTCTATTTGGAATTTTCTTCAAAATAATCCAGTCTCATCCACATTAAACACCTGTTCTGGCAGGTAACCCCCTTCAGTGATGATGTTTGTATCTCTGAAAGTTTGTAAGTTGAACGTTCTTAAGTAGAGGAGCACCTGTACTGTAATGTAACTATACAGGGGTATTCCATTATAATTTTAAAATAAAAAATCATATGAACTATGTTTTTGAGGAAAATATCATAAAATTTATATTAAGGAAAAATCATTACCAGTGCACTTTTCATGATTTCATGGGGTAAGAAAACATCTATGTTCATGTTTTGTGATAAAATGTCCCACAGTAGGTAGTTAATACTCTTAATCCATCAGGACTATAAGCTTTACATGTGATAGTGATTAAGGAAAACACATACATATTGGGTCTTATTGGTTTCATATAACATTTCTAAAAAAAAATTGTTTTGAATGTAGATTATCCTCCTAATTCCAAAAATATAATAAATATTTTAGATAATTTTTTAAGATATATTATTTTTATTAGATTGGCATTTGCTTGGAGAGATCTTTGTTATCATGCCTGAAACGCTAAACAAACTTGCAGAAATGCGAGTCAAATATATCATAATTCATTATTTTAGACTACCGAGGGCTCCACCTTCCTGGACCCCCCAGCATTTATAAGTCGTTTGCAAGGGAAACGTTATACTGTAGAAGAAAAATGTTTTAGAATTCTTGAAACTACCTATATTAAAGATAAAAATCCTAAGACTCCTGTGTTGTCCAGAAGTAAAAATAATACCCTAAATTTTAATTATACAAGTACTGTACAGTATTTTGGTTTCTGCTGGATTTAAAAAGTAAAAAATAAACATTTTAATTATGTATAATACAAAGATAATTGGTGCCAGATCAAGGAAAAATATCACATTGGCTTTCTGATGAAGTGGCACATAGGTTGTGGCCTCCATGCCTTTGACATTTAGAAATAACCATTTAAACCTTATGTAAATCTTTCAGTCTGTCTGTTGTTTCTTTATTTAAAAGAAAATATTGCTGTACTCCCAATAATGTCCAGTACAGTATTCCCTTAATATAAGAAAAACAATTCTGTACACTTACACCATGCACATCTATGTGATAAACATGTAACTTCTTCTCACCAGGTAATTACAAACTCCAACTGTATGACCCCCGGACTGGTGGCTTCATGCCTTCTTCTCCAGGGCTCGGCATGCACGTGGAGATCAGGGATCCTGATGACAAAATTCTAATGTCTAGGGTAAGTATTCATGTTAATTTTTATGTATAGGTAACTGTACTGTACTGTACCTATATATACAGGGTATATATAGATACCATGTACATGTACTGCAGCTTTCAGGTGGATTATTCACTTTTGGATTATTCACTTTTGCCACATTAAGGTACAATATTCAAGGTTATTATGGCTTAAGACATGTGAACAGTATTTTGTGTATTGATTATCCTAATTGAAAACAGTCTCTCCAGGGGGGGGGGCTTGGTCAAGTGAAAGGATTATGACCATCGGAAGCAGCTTCCTTACTCTTGTGTTACCTCAGATTTTCATTTACAAGGGCTTTTACATTCAATACCTTGAGCAGAGGGTTGAGTAAGGAACTCTGCCTTCATACCAGGGTTCATTATTAGATTACCTGTATACTGAAAAGAAGGGTATCAGAACATGAAAGAGATGCCAATATTGGTAGTGTTTTCTTGAACAGTGACTTTCAGATTTGACTTGCTCAAAATTGGAAAATCACTGGCCTCGGGTCATGACTGTAATAGTGCTGTGATGTTTTGGTCTGGTTAGGTCTTGGCTGCCAAAGCAACCAGAGTACTGTACCTGCATTTACAGTGGCTCTTGTTCAAAATCCAAGATGTTATATTTATTTACTGAGGTAGGGCAGGGTTTTAACAGGCAATCTGTATGAGAATAAAAGGTCAAGAGTTAAAGGGAACCTTTTCTGTTCATACAATGAAAGCAATTACAGTATTTATTTAAGATGTGCGCATGTAATACGTTCTTTATGGCCTGTGAAGTCTTGAATTTTTTTCTAATTTAGTTTGCACAGCTACTTTTCTCATGCATGGTAAATTTTGTGTTGCAGGTGTACAGCAGTGAGGGACGATTCACCTTCACCTCACACACCCCAGGAGAACACATCATCTGCCTTTACTCCAACTCCACCAAGTGGTTCTCTGGATCACAACTGGTAATGTCATAATAAACAAAAGTTGTGTTTAGTTCTTTGATTGCATGCTCATTTTAATTAAGATTAGTGGAGAGATTTCTTGTTCTGGGTACTATGTGTATCCCCTGTTTTGAAGAACTTGTTATTGTTACAAACCTTCCTCATCCTTTATGCTGCTTCTGCTCCATCCTGATGCTTTCTTCACTTCCTTCAATTGCATCTCTCTCTTTCCTAAGGTTTCTGTTCCCCTTGATCAACCCCAAGTATGTTGGAGTAAAATAAATATAATACATAATCTATGTTTTTTAATAAATTTATTAGTTTTGGAGAGTTTCTCCGATATACGGCAGTGTTGTTTGTATGATTATGTAATTTAACTATTCAGGAATAAAATCAGGATTACAGTATTTGGGTACAAATTTTATTTATTTTTAATTAATATATTTTTTTTTCTCTCTCAAAATTATGGAGTGGACCTGCAAGTATGTATGCATGCTCTGTTAAAGGCAGCCCTCACCCCCACTTATTTTACTTACCTACAGTACTAATCACTGCTGTACTAGATGAAATTCTGTTGAAATTTCACATTAATTCAGGCAACACTACAAGAGGTACCATATTGGGTGATGGAGTTTATAGGTCTTCTGATAGTGGTCTGGATCCATGTGTGCTTATGGTGTTTTAGGCTCTACTCCCCCATGGAACTATCCTGAATCTGTCACCAGGAAAGTATTGTTTGCAGTTGAAGGAATGCATCATTATCAAGAAAGTAAACTCATGTTAGGCGGGTATCCCTCGAGGTGGTGTTCCTCTGGGAAAACCAAGGGTTTCCAGTATTCTGTACTTCAGAAAAAAAATAGATGATCGTTTCATTTATGTTTTTGTTAAACATGCAATATTAACAAAATAAAATGGGAAAATTTTTAAGTGAAATTTGTCTTTTACTGCAGCGTGTGCACTTTGATATCCAAGTGGGTGAACATGCCGTTGACTATGCCAACGTGGCCCAAAAAGAGAAGCTGACTGAACTACAACTACGAGTGCGACAACTGTTGGACCAAGTGGACCAGATTTCCAAGGAACAGAACTATCAGAGGGTAAGCTACTCTAAGTCTGTTTATTGTGTACTGTACTGGCTACATGCATTGTCAAGGCAATTTTATCTTAGCTGTAACTAAATGATTGATTTTTCTATCACAAACCAAAAATTTCATTGGAAGTATTGGTACTCATAGATATATCCTTATTTACTTCATCTTCTTATACAGGGTGTAAAAGAATCAGCAGCAGATTCCTGGGGTCATTACCATTCAGAAATGTCATATGAACATGAGTCCAATTCTCAATGGTTACAAAACTAGGGATAGATGTAAAAATAAGGAAATGAGGACAATTTGAACGATATGGGAATGTTTATTGGAACATGTCCTGACATTGAACTGTTAGCATAGTGGTTGCAGTATGGCTTAGTACTGTTCACTGTAATAATTGTTCAAAATGGCCTCCTTGAGCTTGCACACACCTTGATTTGTTTACCATGGACTGTGTAACCCAATGAAGAACCTCGGGGTCATTCACTCAACTTGCAGTATCAAATATTCGAAAAGGGCATAGCCGCATATGTTTTGTTCGAGATATAAACGGTACGTTCACAACTAATTTGATTGATGGTATAGCACTACCGTGACACACGCGTATATCCTGGCATATATCACTACATTGAATATTGGTCCATTACAGCTTCTAATGAAAAAGCAACATTGCGAGGAAAGAGGAGGGGTCGTAGCACCTGATGCTAAGTGGCAAAATGTATCTCACCCATAGTTTTACATACCCATAGTTTCATAATCATTTAAAATCAGACTCGTGTTCATATGGTATTTCTTAATGGTAATGACCCCAGAAATCAGCTGCTGAATTTTTTACATTAAAGTGAATGTTAAAAAACTAATAAGAAATTTTATATAGTTAATCAGCTGGTTCTAGCATACATAAAAGTTTTGAAAGTAAAGATATTACAGTACTGTTAAAGGATGAGTTGCTTCCATTGTGACTTTTCCATGACACCTCCACACTAACTGGACTACTCCACTCAATCTTCCCGTCCTTTGTTTTTGGTCTTATGACTTACTGTTTACTCCCCACACTAACACACTGCTTGTATGCATACATATCCATCTGATCTTTCTCTCCTGTATTCCTCATCACTTCCACATTCTCTGACAATTTCTTATCCATAAACTTCCTCGTTCATATCATCCTCTTCATTCGTGGATTTCTGCTGCTCCTCACCGTTTATCCATCCACACTAATATTCTGCTCATTTACACACCTACTCTCACACACACACTCTATTGGTCTTCATTTACTCCTCGTAATTGTAGCTCATACATGCTTGCACTCTTTATCATTCTTTTCTCATTCACTCCAATTAACCATCTCACGTGAGACTTAATCCTTCAAGTGACTATACAGTACTTCATTAACAATTGTAGACCTTACATTACTAAGCAGTAAGCAGCTTGGGAAAAAGTATACTTCAAGTGATATTTATGGTTTCAGTATCGAGAAGAACGTTTCCGCCTGACTTCAGAAAGCACCAATCAACGAGTTCTGTGGTGGTCTATTGGGCAAGTGTGCATCCTGCTGGGTATGGGATTTTGGCAAATGCGTCATTTGAAGAGCTTTTTCGAGGCCAAGAAGCTTGTCTAATTGAACCATAAAAAATTGCACCTGGGATTGAATTTGACATAGTGAAGGTGCTACCTTTTTGAGGATTATAGTAAATTGAAAAATAGACTTCAGAAGATTAATATTAAATTTTTATTTGCTGATCATTTGGCATTCAGAGGTTAAGAAAGGAAAAAGTCTTAATTAGGAAGAAAAAAAATATATAATATACGTATATATAATCTTCGACTATCTTGTTCTGTAGATGACTTCTTAAGAAGCCAAAAAGAGTATGATTCTTAATTTTCAGGAAAACCATGAAAATTGATTTGCTGAATATTGACTGCTACAGGCTTGGAATTTCATGGCAGTCATGGTTGTTGCAGCCCTCTTCCTGGTCATGTGTCTCACAAAAAGCACCTTCTTAATGCTGTGCCCATCATGTCTTTAAGGCATCGTGCCTTTGTTTTGAGTTTCAACGCCTGCTGTTGTATGCTATTTTGTCAAAAAATAAAAAAAATTATTTTTTTCTCTCCTCAACTGCTAAAGCTTTGTAATTTAGTTTTTGTGTATATATTATCTACAGTAGGGTTAAAAGCTATTTTAAAAAACTGGGATTTGAAAATTAATGTCATTTGAACCATTCTTAATGTCTGTAATATAAATAACATGAAGTGATTGGAGATACTAATCTCAGTGTAGATGTTTTTATTTACTGGCACTAGTATTAAGTTTGGAGGCATATTGTAGATGATCCAAGATTTTATGTTATGCTGTGGTGTAAATATCATTGATATCTGTTAATTTGTGTGTGTGCGTGCGTGCGTGACAACTTGAAGACAAATAAAATGGATTTTTTTTTAAGTTTTATCTTATTTCCTATTGCCTAACTTCATTTAATTGTTTTTATTATCTCAAGATTCTTGATGTCTAATTGTGTTTGGTATTATTTAAGTCACTTAGCAAAACAAGTAGATGAAAGTTAGGTTTTATCAAAAATGTATATCAGGTGGGTGACCTGGGTTCCGAGCCTCTTGTACAAGGGAACAATTAACAAGTTTCTTTTACTGCATTGTAAGATATAACTAACAATTTTGTACTACATATTCTTTTGTAGTTTATCAACATTACATTTTAATAATTATCAATACAATTTATGAAGATACTGTACAAGGTAATAAATGATGTATTGTCCCTTTTCTGTTGCTCATAGTACTGTACCACACTTGCCTTGCACAACTCACCAGTTGATTCCCCACTTCTTTAAGGTTTCTGAAACCCTTGGTGCATCTGACACAAAGGTAGGAGGTGGATTAAGATGTTAAATAGATAAAAAGATAAGATTTAAAGAATAGATAAGTTTTTTATTTTATTAAGAGAATAAACTTATCCACCGTAAGGTTTCTAACCAATTTTACAAGTATAAGACAATTGCTCTGGGTCTAATATTATGGTGGTAACACTGGACTCTTGCATATTGTAGTCTTGTTCTTAAAGTTAAATAATGTATGCTTCAGGACATGGCTAGAATGCTAGTGACTAATCTTTCAACAATACATTTAATATGAGTTAACAACCAACAAAAGCAAACCTTGTTCACTGTTTGGTATGGAAAGATTATTGGTGTTATGGCAAAACTTTGATTAGTCATGTGGTCGAACATTACAAAATTGCAAGAGTTTGACATTGTGAATCCAGAATACATGATATATCACACATATATGAATAATGTATCACATGCACTTTTCTGGCCAGTAGATTGATAGATGAAATTAATATGTTTTGAGGTGCTCAATGGGCTTAAAGCAGAGATTTGGGAAGTGTATGGGGGAGGCCTTCAGTAGTGGACTGATATAAGCTGGTGATGATTAGAAAGTCAGTTTCACGTAAAACAGAGATTCCATATATTTGTTGTCCAAAGGTCAAATGGAAATACTCAATGTTTGTGTTATGTACATTTCATCAAAAATACAAAATTTGAGTATCATTGACTTGCACAGGAGACATCAACTGGTTATTCAGTTATCCCCTGCAGTGTTGCCATAATTCTTTCTACTATTCAACAACAACAACTAGTGAAAATACTGTATATGAAAAATCATTCATGCATTCAGTCATGTGGCATGATATTTTATGCAGAAAGTGTGAGTACTGTAGTGATTTTAGAAGGGAACACTGACTCTTACTGTATTAAGTTTTTATAACATTGTCGAATATAATCCAGATCTCAGCAGCTGGGATCTCTCCTCTCCTGCAGGTTTGTACAAAAAATTTACCAGTCAATGATTACAATTAATGATAAGTTAATCTTGAACATTGGTGGCATTATTCAAGGGATGTACAACAGATTTCTTCACCTTTAGTGAGTGAAGAAATGCATAACTGCTGCATATTAACATTGTAAAATAAAATTCATTCATCACCATGAGAATGCTGCATTAAAAAGACTTATATTAGTATATACAAGGAACTCTGATCATACAAAGGGTTTTCAGACTCCTCCATAGGAACTCAAGTTTAAGAAGAGTTTATCACAAGAGACTTGCTCCCTGTCACTCCTGACAATTTTTTTTAAATATCCACAAACCCAATCATATATTGGGCCAGAAGGAAGATCTTGTATTATAGCCTGGAAAAAAGAAGAGAAAAAAGATACTCTAAGTTCGTGATATTTTGTGTAGATTTTCATATGAATGTAATTATATCCACTAATATGTTCATGCAATTATGTGATAAAAAGAGACAGAATCAATAATAATGATTGTCTTGTTTCTCAGTGTCCCCCCTCACTACTTCCTCTTTGTCTTATTAGGAAGAAGCAGAAAAGACACAGAATAACAGTAACAAGAAGAAAAATTATACCTGCTGTTCTCGACAATACAGATGCTGGACTGTGGCCTGACAGCTTCCCTCACCTGGCGTCGATCTCGCTCCAGCTCAATCAACACCCCCTGGATGGTCACCCGCTTGAACTCTGCAAGTACAGCACAGTGTAGGTGAAGAGAGATTGAAGTGTAGAGAGAAGGGGACAAATAGAAATGGTGAGTTAACTACCATTCAAATATATTTACACATAATACAGTATCTATAAACACATATATGAGGGTAACAGTTAAATTTATTCCAGGAATTTTGATCATAAAAACAAGAGTAATAAAGACAGGAAGATCAAACTTCTCTACAGTAATTCTTCACCTAGCTTCCCTGTTCCTGTATAACACAGTGCTTCTTACACTGTTATACTAGCACCTAAACACCTGAAACACATAAGGTTTTGTCTGTGATTTATTTCAATACAGTACATGAACTTCTACCTCATTATTAGGCTGCACTGATTGTCACCTAAGTGTTCCTTCACTGGCTCAAACAGATGGATGTCACTAGGAGCTAAGTCTAGAGTGAATGGGAAGGTCATGGAGAACCTCTGTCTAGATCTGCACTTTGACTATTGTTTAGGTTGTGTGAGAAAGGCCATTATTTTGAAACACAAGAACTTTATCAGATAACAGTCCTATGTTTTCTTCTGATGATTACATGAACATCACCTTCAGTATAACACCACTATGCCTGTGAGTATTTCAGGATAATACCAACTCTTGATGTGACCTGCATTGGTAATACCATGGTTACCCAGTAAGTAGCAGCAGAATCTGAACTTGGAGGTTCTTCATTACCAGCTCAATGTACAGGCTTGGCCTCTAGTAATTTTTGTGCTCAAGCCAGTGAAAGAGACCCAATGTGGAAATCAAAGCAGTCTGATGATGAGGTGAAGACCTAGGTCTTGAAATCATGTAAGAAGATGGACAAATCCTGCATTAATACATTGAGGTAAAGATCTTTACTATACAGGAAGGTTTTATAGAAAATAGAGTAAATTCCTGTATTTTTTTTTAATCAACAAAAGCTCAGGAATGACTTAACTACAACACTAATACTGTATCATCATTATCATCCTTTATCATCCCACTGGTGGATGAAGATGTTGTTATATGCTGCCACAGCCTTATAAATTCTCTGGCATCATTTATCCATCAGGTAGTTGTTCTTTTTCTGAGTTCTCTTATCTCGGACTTTGTAAAAACATCTCATGCTTTGGTTTGATATTTCACTCATTTGTTAAGTACTGTATCCTGTTCTTACATATAACGTCTCACAAATATTATTCCTGCATCTTTGATTTTCTGTATCGTAATTAGTATATTATCGTGACCACAGTTATGGAGGTGCTGGGAGCAAATTAACCGATGACAAAGTGGACAAAGTAAAGTAAAATTAACATGTAGTAGTCAAATATTTTTCATTTTACACAAAATATGTTACTTAACACATATTTAATCCCTCAAAGGTACTCTTTTGATTTTATCTTTTAACTTTGTGCAATTGATTTTCAGGTATGATGACAATTGCCCTGAATATGTATAATAAATGATATACAGTACAGTAAAAACCATTGTTGGCATCTACTGTATTAGCTAGGAATTTGTGAAACTATTTATGGTGGTGAGGGAGAATAACCAAAGGTGATGGAGGATAGTCAGAGGTGAAAGGGGATAGTCAGAGGTGAAGGAGGATAGTCAGAGGTGAGGGAGGATAGGAGGCTAGACAGAGGTGAGATGGATAGAGTCAGGTGAGAGAGAAGAGTCAGCGCTGAAGGGTCACTCACCAGGGGCAAAAGTGAAGAGTATCACACAGAAGCAGCCAGCCAAGACCCACTCAGATGCTGTGGCCACAACATGGTACTCCCAGCTAATGCGCGTGTTCTTCCACTCCTGGTTCCTTGTCAAGTAAGCTGGAACACACACACACTGCCTCACAACACTGGTTAGGTATGCTGAATCACACACTACCTCACAACACTCATCAAATATGCTGAAACATGCACTTACTACCTCACAACACTGGTTAAGTATGCTAAAACACACACGCTGCTTCACAACACTGGTTAAGTATGTTAAAACAAACACGCTGCTTCACAACACTGGTTAAGTATGTTAAAACACACACGCTGCTTCACAACACTGGTTAAGTATGTTAAAACAAACACGCTGCTTCACAACACTGGTTAAGTATGTTAAAACACACACGCTGCTTCACAACACTGGTTAAGTATGTTAAAACACACACGCTGCTTCACAACACTGGTTAAGTTTGCAGAAATATACACACTTTACTGCCTCACGTCACTGGTTACTATCACCAAAAGTACCATTATTACTACACTACCACATTATCAATACACTACCATAATCACTATTACCATTATACTTTTGATAACATAATTTTGAGAGTGATGACAGCAGGGAAATGAGAGAAAAAGGTTGTGGGAGTACATAGACCCTGGACTTGAATATAGCCTGGATACAACTGGATCTAGTTATCATGATAAATATATAGTACAGTAAAGTACAGTACAGTTCAAAACCTTGGAGGGTGACAGTAATCATACTTGGTCTGTGTTCCCCAGAGCCTTTTGTGTAAACCCTTAATCGTGCATATTATGACAGACATAACAGATACAGTAATATCACACAAGAACTGCACTGTCATTTCAAACACAAAGGACCGTGAGCTTACCAAACATATTATCATTTTGTACACAAACAAGCATGAAGCAATGAGATTACTATACATATAGGTACGTATTGTCATTTTGTACACAACAAAACATGAAGCAATAAGATAGCCAAACATATTGCCATTCTGCAGACAGGACAGTATACAGTACAGTACAGTACTTCTATTGAGAGGTGTTTTCTGGTATACTCGAAAAACAAACAAACAATGAAACTTCAACTGTCTTGCATATCTCTGTGTTATCAATTTCTCAGTGACTACTGACTTGCAGTGTTATCATGACATCTTTCTCTGATAGCTTTCAGTAAGCTTGAATTATTAATGTTGACTTTCAGTTAACATGACTTATTGATATTGTTACCGCCCGCAGGAAACTGCGTGGACAGTGTTAATACTTTGTTCGGAATAGTTTAGTTACGAGAGTATTGAAAATATAATAGAGGGGAGTGAAGCGAGCTATGAAGGTGTTTATAGTTGAGCTACCCTGGTGTTTTGCTGAATACACAGTTCTGCAGATGGTGACGGGGCATCAGGCAGTGAGAGGCACTGAGACTACCTAGTCAGACTACTTCTTACAGATATCCCGTGAACATCTAAACCTCTGCTGGCATTAGACTCGTAACAAGTAAGTGTGATTGTGATGTATCAAATAATTTACATATATGAGAATTACTTATCTTCTAATTACACATTCATTATTATAAGTCAAGACAACATTATACAGTAGATGTTAGAATTTGAGGAATAGCTAAATGTGGTTCTGTTACTGTATCTTGCTATGATTACTGTGTCTACAATAATTAGGTGAAGACTTTATATCATGTGTTAAGGAATTTATTCATTGATATGTAATTTGTATAGACAGGTTATGACCGAATTATATTGTTCGTGTCCATCGAAACGAGTCTCACTCTTCTTCAAGCCCATAGTCGTCTTAATTGGCGATTACATATATTAACCTTCAGTAAACATGAACTCCTGGTAATATTTCCAGTAACATGATCTATTGATATTGTTTTTTTGTTTTTTTAGTAAACCCGGTAAATTTTCACACAAGAGAGGTTATGCTATGACTGTCAGGGAGACGTTCCTGTAAAAATGAACAAGAAGGAGAGATTCTTGAAAACCCAATCAAGGATTAGCAGACAATTAGCTGATTAGGAAGGAATACAAGTATATGATTAATTAGTGATAAATATAAAAATGGCAAATAATATATCTGACAACAAATATTAAGACATCAAAGCAATAATGAGTAGTGAAACAGACCATACTTGGCCAACACTGGCACATATTCACTGAAGGTGGCACAACAAGTGGGGAGAAAAGCAAATTGAGACTTGGAAATTATACAAGTGTACCTTCGAATACAAAGATAGGAAAATGCTCCTTCAGTTGTACATATCTCAAGTATGCCCCAGTCTGGATTGCTGTACAGTATATACAGGCATGGAAACCCTACCTCCAGAAAGACCTAACATTCCTAGTGACTAAAATGAATCTGGAACTGTCATCTAGATTATCCATGTAGACTGAGGGCCTTTGATCTAACAACCCTTCAGACAAGACAGAATAGGGCAGATCTCATTGAAACATTCCAAACCCTGAAAGGGATGGAAAACGTGAACCTGGGCCATTTCTTTGCGATGTCACACGCCACTAACACAAGGAGACATAACTACAAACTCGTTAAGTTATCATGCAAAACAAACATAAGGAAATACTTTTCCACACAGAGGGTCTACCAGCCCAAGCTGTGGAATCAAGAACAGTACTGGGCTTCAAAATAACCCTTGACAAAATTATTTAGAACAATGGAGAGGTCCTATATGGGGGCCACTGGCCTCTTTCCCTTGGTATGGCCATCTCTAGTGGGTGGCCATTAGGTAAGTAAGATAAGGTCAATATTCTGGGATAGCACATGCCCAGTACTTGCCAACAGTGCACAAAAGTCTGAAAAATTCTCAGTACAATACCTGTTAACATAGTGTAACAGTGAACTGACCCTCTGCCTGAATGGCTATTAAACTGAGAAGTGGGGAAGAGCATTAAGTAATGCAGAATAAATTAAAGTAAACTATAGTGTAGTGTGTACTTACCCACTTGGTTGTCGTTAGCAAGGGCGTGTAGGACACTGAACAAGACGGTGGTGATGTTCATGAGTGTGGCCAGCAACGAGGTCGCCACTCTCACCCTACACACACCCAAACTGTTCACCCATGGTACCAGGCTGTAGGACAACACACTCTGAAACAGCACAAGAATGTATGCCAACGTAATCTGACCAAAACTAATCCCCCATCTATCTCATTGGCTTAGCTACCTGCAGGCTAAACTATCCCTTGGCTATCCCATGTCTCTATCTTGACTAGACTAACCTCAGCTTATAATTTAGCTGCTACATTACCCTTTGGTTGTACAGTATCTTGGGAAGACTATCCCTTAGCATTCCCTGACCATGCTATCACTTGGCAAGACAATCCCTGGTTACATTACTCCTGGCTAGAATATCTCCTGGCTATGGCTATATTATACCCTGGCTACCTCCTGGCTAGAATACATTGGCTGTATTTTAGCTACACTTTACGATGGATATATCCTGAGTTCTGACTACAATATCCCCTAGCTATTTATTGGTTAGATTATCTCCTGGCTACATTATCCCCTAACTATACAGTATATTGGTTAGACTATCCCCTGGCTACACTATTCACACCTGTATCCAGAGGTATATGTTGCCCACGCCGAAGGCCAGAGAAGCTCCAAGTAAGTGGATACTGCCCAGGTTTTTTGACTGAAAGAACATCAAAATATAAAGAAATTACTTTAAAAAGGAAAGAATCATAATCGAGAACCAGACAAAATAATTAAAAAGAAAAAGGTACAAAATAAAAATAAACATTAAACCATCAAAATCAATATATTACAGATCAAATTAAAAACCTTTTTGACATATGGTGATATGGATGGTCTATCATGTAGTACAGCTTTTACCATGAGAAAGGGCGTTAAAATTTGTCTTTCACTGTAATTCATATTTAAGATCGTTAATTTAAATTTGATGTTTCCGCAACAAACTGATAATTGAGAAAGATGTTTGCAATTTTTGAAGATTTGTGTACTGTATTGTATATATCCTAGACAACTTTAGTTGTTAAAGCGTAGTACATTATAATATTAATGAGAAATATTTAGAGGTGTAATATGTCGTACATATAAATTAACGGCTGTGGAATGGACCTGTGTAGTCTCTACTACCTATGGTAACTGGAACAGTGTCTACCTGGAACAATGCCAAACGTCCACAGTACCTGGAAGCTGCCGACAATAGAGATTCCAAAAGAAGCAGCGAAGCCGAAGAACATGGAAATTTTGCTCCTGGACATGACATTCTTTCTGGTGATGTTCTTGGCGCAGTAGTCGACTATAAGACGGTGACGCACGTACACTGTGAACCCCACTGGAATACATGTGGGTGAGGGAGTGACAGTAATGTGGCTGTGCACGGCAGGTAGACTGAATAGAATAAAATTTAAGAAAGTCATCCCCCTCACAAAAAAGAAAAGAAACGAAATGGTAAAGAAGATGCTGAAGACATTTCCTTACATTATTGTTGCAGTTTATGTTACTTATCAACAAGATATATAAATTTCTAAGATACCTTATTATTGACAAAACTTTCTGAGATAACTTAGTGAGGTAGCTTATCACTGTAATGAATGACAACGAAAACTTACAGAGGAGAGCCATAATGTTGAGCATCTGGGTAAAGAAGCAGCTCTCGGGTGGGTCATCACCTGTGGAGCTGATGTACGGAAAGTCGGGCTCCACATGGTTGTTCATCACCGCCCACACGTAACTGTTGGACACCTGTCTGTTAGTAAGTGTGCCGAACTATGACGTTGATATCATCAGCATGTGTGCCTGGGAAATGTTCCGCATGAAGTGTGTCGATGTAATATTTACTGAATCACTTTGTGTCAAGGACAGTGTAAAAACGTTTCTTTCCTCCAGTACTCACGTGACAAGGAAAGTGAAGGGGAATGTGAGGGAAGTAACGATAGGTAGCCAGGCCAACCCCCCTGCCATGGCCACACAGCTTCACACTTCTGGACTTGCCCCTTATATTCCGCCAGACGCCGAAGTTGTCTGAAATGGCGAATGCCTGGCTAAAAGTCTAGGGACAATTTGTGATGTTTTGACAATCACATGTATCACTGATACAGTTTCTGATAAGGGTATAAAGAAAGGAATTATATTGATCTGTGTTTCGCATATTGATTTTGAGTAGGGTACATAAAATTTTGAAAATAAAGATAAATGAAGTTAAATCGTATGACTAATAATTAGCATGTGATGTTTAAGTGAAGTGGAAATAAAATTATGAAGGACGAATATAACGACTGTATATTTGTTGCAAAGTCAAAGTTAATATATACCGTATATGAAGTTAATACGTGCACAATATGAAAAATATGCATAAAAGCATTCACGCGGCATACCTTCACTTTAAGACTTCCAAGCTACAGAAGTTCTTCATATTACAAAACATCAATAGCCCAATCATCACAGTACTGTAGAACTCTCTTACATGACGCATAATTCATCACGTTTCACCCTTCCAATACCTCACTTCTACTAACAAAAGATGTCATTTGTCAGGTGTATAAAATCTTATCCTTCAACTTTTGCCTGACTTAGGTGCGTAAGCTTAACCCCCGAAGCGGAAAAAAAATTATTTAGACTAGACACAAGTCCAATCTTGCTAATGAAAACCTGTCATCACACACTTTACAATAAAACTTATATCACTCATCATAATATACTGTACGTGGGCAGACATAGAACGGACACCAAGTTTGACACAGCCAGGCAGAGCATCATTAATATTGTAAAACTCCTGAACTATCGGTCGCCAGGATAAACACGGATTAACTAATTTGACTTACCAATGGTAATTATGGGGCCATGTTATTACCAGGGAAATTCGATGCACAGGGAGATTTTTCTTTATGTCAAGAACATGTTGGAAATAATTAATTAATGTTTGGATCAGAACACACACATTACCTGCCGTGAGCGGAGTTAGCCAGCGTGTCTATAATGGGTGAAGAGTGACACTAATTTTACTATCATGCTCTTATTGACGTGATGGCCTAGCTTACCTGACGCGTGTGTGTGTGAGAGATAGAACAGATTGATAGATTAGATAAACAGAGTTATATTGTTAGATTAGATCGACAGATAGGTATATAGAGAAAGAGAGAGGCGCTCACATTGCATATACAGTACATTTCAATACATTTTTATTCAGATATCCTACACCATTCGCCGACCTTCCGTGGGATGCATTAGCTGAGTATGTGGCCCCTTTCCTTAGTTCACCCAACATCTTATCGAGTCTGTACAACTTGTTTTTACTGAAACAAGCAAAATAATTATGTAATCAAGGGATACTTATCGTCTTTGTCACTCACCATTTTACGAGCTAATCGAACGATGGCACACTTGATGGGCACCGACCATCGACCAGTACAAGATATGCACACATCTTGACTGTGCCTCAACATATCTTAACCAAAGAAGAAGAATGGCAGTTGGTGGTGTCAAAACAGTGACTGGTAAGTACATCTTTCGGTTAGTTCTGTTAGTGTATCGTCTTAGCAGTTTCTTGATCTTGGTGTATTATGTCCAGACCATCATCACAAGATTTACAAATGTTCTGTTTTAATGTTGTTCCCTAACTGATGCTAAACGATTGTAACTAGTTATAGTAAAATTTAAGTATTTCTATGCTATTTTGGACGTTCAAGTAAAGTCAGCCATTGAAATGCGTTCGTAATGATCAATCAATTACGAGGAACATTCAACACAGGAATTTTTGACAAGCGAAAAACTGTAGTGACGTATCTTTATGTTGAGGAGAGTCGTTTGGGCGCATAGGTGTAAATTATTACTGAGTTATTATTATTATCATTATTATTTTATTTTTTATTTTATTTATTATATTTTTTATGAATTATTATTACTATTATCTATTATTATTACATTTTCGCCCCCCAGGTCCCGATGTGGGTCAGTGCCCTGTGCCCGGATGGGCTAATCCCCTAAAAAAAAAAGTTGAGCCAAGAGTCCATGATATACTCATTCATTAAATTAAATGACTTGTTGAACACCAAATGGTTATAGTTTTCAATACAGCGTTTTAAGAAATAACATCTTAAGACACTACTGAAAATAAGCTTATGGTGGTCTTGCCGAGTCAACATAATGTTTACCATTGCAACAGCCGACTTCTAGGTGGCGTAATGGTAACTTCTACAGTACATTGTTGATCACTACCAGGATAATTTTATAGTCTCGTGAACAATGATGTTGTTTGAGCCACGGTGTTATCAATAGATAATTTTATCAGTGAGTATTACGTATCCCTGGTACCGAGTATCTCCAGAGTGTCATAGTTACCAGAATGGCGAAAAACTACCACGGCGCCGGATTAATCAAATATTAGTTGTAAATTATGTCTACACTACACGTTGGACCGACAACAAAATCACCTGGTGATTAGATTAAGCTGGCATATGCCTTGGTTAGGTTAGGTTATGCTATGCATTACAATACTAGGTTACTTTAGGTTAGGTGAGCGTTAAGTACAGTAAAGTTGAGGGAGCTGTTCCCACTGGTCAAATTGCCTTACTGTTTACGACTGTTTTATACTTGTACTGTTTAGGTACAACTGTATTGGGAAATGTACTGTATACTTGGCAGTCTATAAACATACCCCAGGACATGTCAAACCAATTGTGAAATTGTATGATTTTACTGAATTATTATTATTATTATTATTATTATAATTATTATTATTATTATTATTATTATTATTATTATTATTATTATGATTATAATTATTATTATTATTATTATTATTATTATAATTATTATTATTATTATTATTATTATTATTATTATTATTATTATTATTATTATTATTATTATTATTATCCTCCACATTGTGGAGTCCACGGGACAGCAGGGGACGAGTGTAGCAGACGATGCCAGATGTTCGCCACTGCTGCTCCCTGGTGGTGGTGGGCGAGCAACTAGTAATATCACAAAACTTAAGTTATACAAGCATTTTCAACTCTTCACTCAGCTGCACATGTGACGAGATAAACATTGAACATTTACTAGTGAAGGTAAACAAGGTGTAAACTCGTTGCTGTGGAGGTATACGAAGCAGTAAGTTGAGGTTAGTGTGAGGAGTGAGGAAAGTGCAGCCATCATGAAGCTCAGCACCGAGACAAAACAGAGGCTTCAGTCCGTAGTAGACCTGGGCAAGACCATCTTCCATTGGGGCTTCGTGCCCACTATACTCTATCTAGGTTGGTGTTTCTCATGTTTGTGACTTATTTTTATGCAGTTTTAGTGGGCAAAAACTCCCTGGTGTTGGAGCTGAAGAACACTTTAATGCATGAATCTAAAACTAATCAATTCCTCCACAATCAAATGGATCACATTACTGTATCTTTTTAACTATGCAGTGGATATTTTGCCGTGACCAGCTAAGTTCCTACTAACGCTATTTGACCGTGAGTGCGCTCTGGATTTTATTGCAGTTTCAGCCCTAACTCGGTTTGAGTAATTTTTTTGCTTACCATTAGTTATATTTTCATTTATTTATATAATTTCCATTACTTATCAGCTTACTAGCCATTTGGGCGCTTTATCCAATGTTAGTACAGGAGGGGACCGGGAAATCTGTGGTGTTGGTTAGAGTCACACCAAATAACACCCTTCTCAGGTGTGTCTGGGCCGAGGCTCGAACCCTTGACATATTGGTGAGAGTTATGCAAATGGATATTAACCGAGGTAGTAAATTCACGTAAGAAATTAACAAATCTGCAGTCACCATGTGTCGTCTGCTTACAGCTGACCCGCACAGTTCAAGCGCACTGTCACTTCCACAAAAAATGTAAAATTACACCATGATGCTTCAACAAAATTGCTTCCTAGCCCCCGTGGCTAGGAAGTTAGGTTAGGTTAGGTAGGTTTCTTTGGTTGGTAAGGTCAGGTTTTATGGGGGGGAGTGGTAACTCCAAAACGACTCATTTCCGATGGAAATGAAGGTCAAATTCGTATGAATCACACCAAATACCGTGGGAATTTTTTTTTTATGGTCGAACAGTAGTTGGGACTGAAATTGCAAATTTACCACTGTTTTGTTTGCCAGTAATGGATGATTAGCCAATCAGAGCACACTCACGGTAAAATAGCGTTAGTAGGAACTTGGTCGGTCACGGCAAAATATCCACTGCCTATTAACTATGATAAAGTTTGAGCAGAGTACAACCACAGAACTCTGTATAGGGATAAAGTCCAAAAAATAATATAATACAGATATTGTTGCAAACTTTCATAAATATTCATCCATTGGCTGTCTGCAGGTTCTTGCCATGTTTACCTGACGCTATTCTCTTCACTTTCTCACTTGTCTCCTCCTTTCTTCCTCCTTGTAGGTTAGGTTAGGTTAGGTAGGTTGGTGCCTTTGGTATGAGAATATTTTTTTTGGGGGGGGGGGGTTGTGTCTTACTCAAATCTGAATTTCATTTGTTTTGCAAATTAGCAGATTCTGTTAAAAATTAAAATTTAAATTTTTGGCAAAAACCGTTAATTTCCACATGATTTGAAGGTCAAATTTGAATAAAACACCAAAAAACACCAACACCTGAGGACAACCAATGGACAAATATTTACCCAAACTTTTTTATTTTGAGCTATTTTCACTTCATTTTCATTAAAGAAAATGCAAATTTTTCCTGCAAAAAGTGCAGGGATTTGAATTAAAGGGAAATTGTGGGAGACTGACTACTCACACGTCACGTCGGCGCGGCGGTTGACTCAACAATGGGGAATCAAGCCTTAATGATATTGGCGAGAGGAAAGTGGGATACTGCTTTACTACTGATAATATTTCATTTGTTCATACAATTTTAATTCTTTTCTAGCTTTGTCTGGAGATATTTGATAATTTGATAGTCATGATTTTTTTTATTTATTTATTTATTTATTTATTTTTTGTCCATTTTATCCTTTGTATGGCATGAGGTTCCTGATTCATCCCAGACCCACACACAGGTGAATGGAGGAAAGACTGGAAAGATACACAGACTGATGGTGAAAGCTTCAAGTGTTAGCTTCAGTACCAGACAGTTGGATGCTTCACTAAGACAAAATTTTAATGGTACATGGAATTGAAATTAGATTACCTGATGATTTATCTCTCCAGATTATTTTACCCCAAGATTAAGCACCTTAATGCTAACCTAACCTATGGTAACTCATTGTCCCCCAAGTAGTATTAGGGATGTTAATCATGAGGTGAAATAAGCTGGGAATGTATCTTAAGGTGATCTTTTAGAGTCTTTATACAGTACAGTACATAGAATTTGAAGATCAACAACCTGTTTTGCCACTGTGTACCTTGCAAGAAAAGGCTTGTACAGTACGTACAAAAAAATAAATTAACTACGGTATACCTATTGTATTAATAAAATGTGTCTTGTCTGTTTCAGGGTTCAAACAAGGTGCTGATAAAGGCTCGCCAGAAATCGCATTTGGCAAGTAAGTTTACTGTATAATTAAACAAATAGTTTATGATGTTTTTAATGATAGTTTTTCCTGGTGCATTAATGGTTGAGAGTAAATCATGTGTCTGCCAGTACCAGAAGTACTTGGCCAGAATATTTATTTCTTGGCAAACTTTAATAGATTACTGGGCCAGAAACAGCTTAGGCCACTGAAATGGTCACCTCACTAGGAAACATCTATAATTATGAACAGATTTTTACTTAACCTTTGTTTGATTGTTTTAATTACTCTGCCAGTTTCTAATCGGGGATAAAATTTTCTCCTTAATGGTACAAACTTATTATCATTGTCCACACTGCTGTGTTCAGGATAACCATATTAGATGTTATGTTCATAAAGCTTTTAACAACACCTGACGACAACATGAAATAGGTAGGGTACTTGACTGTATACCGTACAGGGATTGAATTTCTTTTCTCTTTTTGCAGCATCATCTGGTAGTGAGGTGTCCCACTTTACTTCATCAATGAACTTGTTTATCTTCCTATGTTGGATATTGAGTTTGTAGCAGC